TAAATAATGTTTTTGTAAAAAATTCTAAAAGAATTTAGTAAAAGAATTCTAAACTAAAAAATTCTTTTAGTGAAAAAATTCTTTTTTTGAAAAATTTTTGTAGTAAAAAATTCTTTTAGTAAAGAATTTTTATTAGTAAAAAATTCTTTTAGTAAAGAATTTTTTTACTAAAAAATCTTTTAGTAAAGATTTTTGTATTAAATAATTATTTTAGTACAAGAATTTCTTACTTTTCTACTTTAGTATAGAATTTTTTTAGTAAAAAATTTTTTTAGTAAAGAATCTTTGTACTAAAAAAATTCTTTTACTTAAGAATTTTGTAGTAAAAAATTCTTTCAGTGAATAATTTTGTAGTAAAAAATTCTTTTTTTGAAAAATTTTTTTAGTAAAAAATTCTTTTAGTAAAGAATCTTTGTACTAAAAAAATTCTTTTACTTAAGAATTTTGTAGTAAAAAATTCTTTCAGTGAATAATTTTGTGGTAAAAAATTCTTTTTTTGAAAAATTTTTGTAGTAAAAAATTCTTTTAGTAAAGAATTTTTATTAGTAAAAAATTCTTTTAGTAAATAATTTTTGTACTTAAAAATCTTTTAGTAAAGTTTTTTGTAGTAAATAATTTTTTTAGTACAAGAATTTCTTACTTTTCTACTTTAGTAAAAATTTTTTTGAGTACAGTAATCTTCTTTTTTTACTTTAAAAATTATTTTATTAAAAAATTTTGTAGTACAAAATTCTTTTAGTAAATAATTTTGTAGTAAAAAATTTTTTTAGTAAAGAATTTTGTATAGTAAAAATCTCTTTCAGTGGAGAATTTTCGTAGTAAAAATTTCTTTTAACGAAGAATATATTTCTTTGCTAAAACAAATTTGTTTAGTAAAAAAATTCTTTTAGTAAAAAATTCTTTTAGTAAAAAAAGTAAAGTAATAGTAAAAATAAAAAGTAAAAATAAAATTGAAAATAAAACAGAAAGTAAAAGTGGAAACACAACTATAAAATCACAATTTTCCATTGAAAAAATCAAAATTCTTTGTCTGCTTCGCTTCTTTTGTATGTACTTATAACTTTATTTTGTGTATATCATGAAAAAAGGAGGGAAAATGTAAATTTTCTCCATGTTTATGATGTAAAAGATATTATTTTTTCTGTGGGTGGTCTTCGTATATATTAATTTATGAGCAAAGCGACTGAAGCAACACGTGCCTTTTGTTATTCCTCCCGTAAAGTCCATGTTTCATATCAGTTCAACTTCCTCTTTAAGAGACAAACTTTTCACTCTTGGCGAACACATGTGAGTACACATCATCGATATACAAAATATATATATGTATATATCTGTATGTAAACTTGTCAGGAATATACAAAAACTTTTACATACACTTTTACATGTATTATCCTTTCCGATTCTCTCTCATCCTCAAGGAAAAATTCTCAAGTGCTTCGCGTTGTTTTTCTTCTAAACAAACTATGATATCTTCCCTTTACACATGATATATAAACAATTTTCGTCGTTAGTCCCATTGGTACTAGAATTTTTTAGATTTCTTCTCCTCTTTTCTTTTTATCTCTTCTTTTCTCTATTCTCTTCTTTTTTATTTTCTTCTGCTCTTTTTTCCTTTCTTTTCTCTATTCTCTTCTATTTCCTTCTCTTCTTTTTTATTTTTTCTTCTCTTTTTTCCTTTCTTCTTTTTTCTATTCTCTTCTTTTTTATTTTCTTCTTCTCTTCTTTTTTCTATTCAATTCTTTTTTAATTTCTTCTTCTCTTCTTTTTTGTTTTCTACTCTTTTTCTGTGTCTTCTTATTTCTATTCTCATCTTTTTTTTCTTCTTCTCTTTTTTCTTTTCTTCTTTTTTCTATTATCTCCTATTTTCTTCTTCTCTTTTTCCTTTATTTCTTTTTCTATTCTCTTCTTATTTATTTTCTTCTTTTCTTTTTTCCTTTTTCTTTTTTCTATTCTCTTCTTTTTTCTTCTCTTATTTTTTATTTTCTTCATTTTTTCCTTTCTTTTTTCTGTTCTATTCTTTTTTATTTTCTTCTCCTGTTTTTTATTCTCTTCTTTTTTTTCCTTTCTTTTTTCTGTTCTATTCTTTTTTATTTTCTTCTCCTGTTTTTTATTCTCTTCTTTTTTTTCCTTTCTTCTTTTTTCTGTTCTCTTCTTTTTTAATTTCTCCTTTCTTTTTTCCTTTCTTCTTTTTTTTATTTCCTTCTTTCTTTCCTTTCTTCTTTTATCTATTCTCTTCTATTTTCTTCTACTCTTTTTTCCTCTCTTCTTTTTTCTATTCTCTTCTATTTTCTTTTTCTCTTTTTTCCTTTCATTTTTTCCTATTCTCTTCCTTTTTATTTTCTTCTTTTTTCCATTCTCTTCTTTTTTCTTTTTTATATTCTCTTATTTTTTACATTCATCTTTTTTCTATTCTATTCTTTTTTACTTTGATACAGACAATTTTCGTTGTTAGTTCCTTTTGTACTTGAATTCTTAGTTTTCTTCTCTTCTTTTATTTTTATCTCTTCTTTTCTTATTCTCTTCTTTTGTCTATTCTCTTCTTTTTTATTATCTTCTCTTTTTTTCCTTTCTTCTTTTTTATTTTCTTCTTGTCTTTTTTCTTTTCTTCTTTTTTCTATCTTCCTCTTTCTTATTTTCTTCTCTTTTTTCTTTTTATTGTATTCTCTTCTTTATTATTTTCTCCTTCTCTTTTTTCCTTTATTCGTTTTTCTATTCCCTTTTTTTCTATTCTCTTCTGTTTTATTTTCATCTTTTTTTATTTTATTCTTCTCTTTTTTCCTATCTTCTTTTTTCTATTCTTAACTATTTCCTTCTTCTCTTTTCTTATTTTCTTCTATTTATTTTTTTCTTCTCTTTTTTTCTTTCTTCTTTTTTCTATTCTCTTCTTTTTTACTTCATTTTTTTCTTTTTCTCTTTATTCCATTTTGCCTTTCTTCTTTTTTCTAATCACTTCTATTTTCTTCTCTTCTTTCATATTTTCTACTTTTCTTTTCTCTATTCTCTTCTCTTTTACATTCTTCTTTTTTAATTTCTTATTTTTTCTTCTTTTCTTCTTTTTTCTATTTTCTTCTTTTTTCCTTTCTTTTTTTTTCTATTCTCTTCCATTTTCTTCTTCTCTTTTCTAATATTTTATTTTCCTTTTCTTTTTTTTCCTTTCTTCTTTTTTCTATTCCCTTCTTTTTTACTTTCTTCTCCCCTTTTTTCTTTTTTCTATATTATCTTCTTTTCTCTTATCTTCTTCCCTTTTTCTTTTCTTTTTTCTATTTTTTTCATATCTTCTCCCCTTTTTCTTTTCTTCTTTTTTCTATTCTCTTCTTTTTAACTTTCTTCTTCTTTCTAATCTCTTCTATTTTCTTCTCTTTTTTCTTATTTTTTTCTTTTCTTTCCTCTATTCTCTTTTTTTACATTCTTCTTTTTTAATTTCTTATTTTTTCTTCTTCTCTTCTTTTTTATTTTCTTCTTTTTTCTATTCTCTTACATTTTCTTCTTCTCTTTTCTAATATTTTATTTTCTTCTTCTTTTTTTTCCTTTCTTCTTTTTTCTATTCTCTTCTTTCTTACTTTCTTCTCCCCTTTTTCCTTTTTTCTATTCTCTTCCTTTCTCTTATCTTCTTCCCTTTTTCTTTTCTTTCTTCTATTTTTTCTTTTCTTCTCCCCTTTTTCTTTTCTTCTTTTTTCTATTCTCTTCTTTTTTACTTTCTTCTTTTTTCTATTCTCTTGTTTTTTATTTTCTTCTTCTCTTCTTTTTTCTATTTAATTCTTTTTTATTTTCTTCTTCTCTTCCTATTTCTATTGAATTCTTTTTTATTTTCTTCTTCTTTTCTTTTTTCTATTCTCTTCTTTTTTATTTTCTTTTCTCTATTCCTTTCTTCTTTTATTCTCTTTTTTATTTTCTTCTTTTTCTATTCTCTTCTTTCTTACTTTCTTCTCCCCTTTTTCCTTTTTTCTATTCTCTTCCTTTCTCTTATCTTCTTCCCTTTTTCTTTTCTTTTTTCTATTTTTTCTTTTCTTCTCCTCTTTTTCTTTTCTTCTTTTTTATTTTTTCTTCTCTTTTTTCCTTTCTTCTTTTTTCTATTCTCTTGTTTTTTATTTTCTTCTTCTCTTCTTTTTTCTATTTAATTCTTTCTTATTTTCTTCTTCTCTTCCTATTTTTATTGAATTCTTTTTTATTTCCTTCTTTTCTTCTTTTTTCTATTCTCTTCTTTTTTATTTTCTTCTCTCTATTCCTTTCTTCTTTTATTCTCTTTTTTTTATTCTCTTTTTTTATTTTCTTCTTTTTCTGTTCTCTTCTTTTTTTCCTTCTCTTTTTCCTTTCTTTTTTTTCTATTCTTTTCTATTTTCTTCTTCTCTTTTCTTATTTTATTTATTTATTCAAAATGTTAACGGGTAAAACCCTCTCAAACAAAGTACTAATATAATAAATTTTCTTCTTTTTTCTAATCTCTTTCATTTTATTCTCTTTTCTCTTATTTTTCTTCTTCTCTTTTTTCCTTTCTTCTTTTTCTGTTCTCTTCTTTTTTATTTTCTTCTTCTCTTTTTTCCTTTCTTCTTTTTTTCTATTCTCTTCTTTTTTATTTTCTTCTTCTCTTTTTTCGTTTCTTCTTTTTTTCTATTCTCTTCTTTTTTATTTTCTTCTTCTCTTTTCTTTTTTTTCCTCTTTATCACACTTTTTTCAAAAGTATCAAATTGATACTGAAGTGTATCAATTTGGATACAAAAATTTAGATCAATTTTTCATTTGACTCATATTTTTGGTACCAAATTGACACACTTTAGTATGAATTTGATACTTTTAAGAAAACTGTAACAATAAAAGGATCCTACATACAAAAGAGAAATTAATTTCATCTTTTGGATAATTCGGACAAGGAAAAGAGTTTTTTTGAGAAGAAAGAAAGAAAGGAAAGAAAAATGAAAAAGAAAGAAAGAAAGGATAGAAAAAAAGATAGAAAGAACGAAAGAAAGAAAGAAAGAAAGAAAGAAAGAAAGAAGGAAGTTATCGAAGATTAAAAAGCGGAGGAAAATTCCCATAATTTTTGTGCGTGAGGAAAGGACACTCCAGTATTTTGGTGTCGAGAGAGAGAAAGATTGAACGGATGACACTCCTCAATCCGTCCTGAAACAACAAACTTCTGAGGATGATGCAGGTCTATACTCTACATTCTTAATCATAACTCATCAACTTTGGTTTATTTAAGAATGCTTATGATTTAAGATTTGGCACGCATTTTTTTTAACACATGCTCTCTATGCTCTCTGGTTTATGATCTTTAAATATATCCATACATATCTCTGTCTCGTCAATAATACATTTTAGATTTTACCTCAAACGCTACTGGAATTTCCACACTGATTTCTGCTCCAGATTTCGTGTAAAATGTTGTGTCCATAATGATGCAGCAGAAATTATTGGGAATTTCTATTTTTATAGGGTATTTTTATATATATGTAATATTACAAATATAAATGTCGGAAAATACCTGCTATGTGAAGTACAACATTAAGTGAATTGAATGCCAACAAGAAAAAATAGAATGCAGAAAGGGAACTAAAACGGAAAATAGAAAAAAAAACAAATAATAAACAAAAAGAAATAGAAGAAGTAAATTTTTCTATTCTTTTTGCTGCTGTTGATATTGTTTTCTGTTTTGGGTCCTCTTCTGTTCTTAGAAGTAAAGTGTAAAAAAAATCGAACTGCAAGTGGAATTTTCTTCTCACTTTGAGATTTTATTGTTTTCGGTGATGTAAGAAATAGAAGAGGAAGAAGTGGAACCTAAATACAGAATTAAAAAATAAATTTATCCGCAAAAGTTAAAGTAACGAAATAAGACAACAAAGAAAAAAGCAAAAATCAAAGAAGATCCAAGAAGTAGTACTGCAATAATTTTAAGATAACGATGAAGAAGAACAAAAGATGCCGAAGAGGAACCGGAACCTGAAAAAACTTACATGAAGCAAAAAAAATGATTTTTGAATTCCTAAGCTCAGAAACCGTGTAAAGAAAAGTTAAAAAACCATTTTTATTTTAGTTTACTTTCATGAGGAAGCAATAAATAAATAGATAAGGAAAAGTCGACAAGAAACAGCAATATTTAGAAGAAGAAAAAAAAACCTCATCTATATAACAGACTAATTACCCTTTTAAGTGACATTGCGATATTGTGCATAAGAAAATAAAAATTCTTTTTCCCAAACAAAAAAAAAAGAATACATTGTGAAAGTATAGCTAATATTCTCTCTATATGGATGACTCATTAGAGGAAGAAGAAGAAGTAGTAGAAAAAAATAAGAAGAAGATGCGAAGGAAGCGGTAAAAATTTCGTACCTGTGTTAAAATGTACTCGGGTGCAGAATATTGTCTTAATAGTTTGTAGTCGCAGAGATAAGATTGGAATCGTTGACTCAACTGTGAAATTCTTACCTTCGAACCATACACTCGTCGTCGGTTATAAATTTTCACAAGTAAAACGAGAGAGGGAGATGAGGATATATGAGAAGTTAATGGGAGTAGCAAACACACCTTCGAACATCCTGGTAAGTGACACCCTTGAAAATTAATTTTACATATTTTTCATATTAATCACGCATGAGAAAATTCATTCCAAACTTCTTTTTAGTATTTTATAATTATTTTTATTTCTATCACTATTCTTATTACTATCACTATTTCTATTACTATCACTCACCTATTACTATCACTATTTATATTACTATCAATATCCTATTAATATCACCAACCTACTACTATCACTATCCCTATCACTATTTATATTACTATCAATATCCTATTAATATCCCTATCACTATTTATATTACTATCACTATCCTATTACTATCCCTATCACTATTTATATTAATATCATACTATCCTATTACTATCACTAAACTACTACTAATACTATCCCTATTTATATTACTATTACTATTACTATCACTATCCTCTTACTATCACTATTCTATTACTACCAATAACCTACTACAATCACTATTAATATTACTATCCCTATATACTATTACTATCACTATTTCTATCACTATTACTATCCCTATTTTTATTACCATCCCTATCACTATCTTTATCACTATTACTATCCCTATTTTTATTACCATCCCTATCACTATCTTTATCACTATTTCTATTACTATCCTCTTACTATCAATAACCTACTACTATCAATATTTCTATTAATATTACTATCCCTACATCCTATTACTATCACTATCCAACTACTATCACTATTGCTATTTATATTACTATCGCTATTACTATCTCAATTTATATTACTTCACTATCCCTATTACTATCACTATTACTATCTCTATATTAATATTACTGACAGTATTTATATTACTATCACTATCCCTATCCTATTACTGTCACAATTACTATCCCTACTACTATAACTATTCCTATTTTATTACTATTAATATTACTATCTTTATTTATATTACTATTACTATCTTTGTCCTATTGCTATCACTATTACTTTCTTTTTTCTAACACTATTACTATCCCTATCCTATTGCTATTACTATCTCTACATTAATATTACTGACACTATTTATATTACTGTCACTATCCCTATCCTATTATTATTAAAATTACTATCACTATTTCTATTTTATTACAATCAATGTTACTATCTTTATATTACTATTACTATCCTTATCATATTGCTATTAATATTACTATTACTATCTCTTTTACTAACACTATTACTATCCCAATTTATACTACTATTAATATTTCTATCACTATTACTATCCTTATTACTATTATCACTATTAATATTACTATCTCTATTACTATCTTTTTTATATTACTATTCCTACTACTATCACTATTTCTATTAATATTACTATTCTATTACTATCTCTATTTATATTACTATTAATATTACTGTCACTATCCCCAATCTTTTACTATCATTATTTCTATTACTTTTAATATCACTATCACTATGTATATTACTAATAATAATACTTTAACTATTTATAATAGTTATAATAATACTATAACTATTTGCATTACTATTCCTATCCTATTACTATTACTATCCTACTACTATCACTATTACTATATTTTTATATTACTATCCTACTTCTATCACTATAACTATTAATATTACTATCCCTATCCTAGTACTATCATTATTTCTATTTCTTTTAATATCACTATCCCTATCCTATTACTATCATTATTTCTATTACTTTTAATATTACTATCACTATTTACATTACTATCCCTATCCTATTACTATCAATATTTATATTACTAATAATAATACTATAACTTTTACATTACTATCCCTATCATATTACTATCACTATTTATATTACTGATAATAATACTGTCACTACTTATAGTACTGTTAATATTGCTATTATTATTACTATTACAATATTACTATCACTATTACTATCACTATCATTACCATCCTTATCCTATTTCTATCATTATTATTATCTTTTTATATTACTATCTATATTTTTATTCCTATTACTATCACTATTACTATATCTCTATATATAAATATTACTAACACTATTTATATTACTGTCCCAACCCTATACTATTACTATCACAATTACTATCCCTACTACTGTCACTATCCCTTTTTTATTACTATCACTATTACTATCTTTATTTATATTACTATTGCTATCCTTGTCCTACTGCTATCACTATTACTATCTTTACTATTACTATCACTATTTATATTACTATTACTATCCTATTACTATATCTATTTATATTAGTATTAATATTACTGTCACTATCCTAAAACTATTTCTATTACTTTCAATATTGCTATCACTATTTACAATAATATCCCTATCCTATTACTATCAATATTTATATTACTATCAATATTACTATTCCTATTCTATTACTATCACTATTACTGTCACTATTCCTATCTTTATTTATAGTACTATTTATATTTCTATCTCTATTATATATTCCTATCGCTATTACTATAGTGATAGTAATAAAGATAGAAATATAAATAGTACTATAAATAAAGATAGGAATAATGACAGTAATAGTGATAGTAATAGGATAGTAATAGGATAGTAATAGGGATAGTAATAGAGATAGAAATATAAATAGTACTACAAATAAAGATAGGAATAGTGACAGTAATAGTGATAGTAATAGGATAGTAATAGGGATAGTAATAGAGATAGAAATATAAATAGTACTACAAATAAAGATAGGAATAGTGACAGTAATAGTGATAGTAATAGGATAGTAATAGGGATAGTAATAGAGATAGAAATATAAATAGTACTACAAATAAAGATAGGAATAGTGACATTAATAGTGATAGTAATAGGATAGTAATAGGATAGTAATAGGGATAGTAATAGAGATAGAAATATAAATAGTACTACAAATAAAGATAGGAATAGTGACAGTAATAGTGATAGTAATAGTATAGTAATAGGATAGTAATAGGATAGTAATAGGATAGTAATAGGGATAGTAATAGAGATAGAAATATAAATAGTACTACAAATAAAGATAGGAATAGTGACAGTAATAGTGATAGTAATAGGATAGTAATAGGGATAGTAATAGAGATAGAAATATAATTAGTACTATAAATAAAGATAGGAATAGAGACAGTAAGAGTGATAGTAATAAGATAGGAATAGTAATATTGGTAGAAATTATTTACATTTTATAAAATGAAAGAAAAAAAAGGAGCAAAATTACTATTTTTACTATAAGAGAGTTTGAATGAAAAAAAAATAGTTTTTACAAAAAAGAATTTTCTTTTTTTCCTTTTAAAATATGCGAGACAAAAACTTGTCAAATACTAAATCTTTGTTATTGAAAAAGAAAAAATTGCTCTTCGTTATTTTTCTCAATATGTTGATATATACATATCTTATCCGAGTCAATTGCTGACGAAAAAAAAAAGAAAAAAAAATAAGTTGAAAAAGTGGAAAAAAAGGTAAACTCTAAAACTGTCATTTGACAAACGGAAACGAACCGTAAAACTTATGATTCGACTCGGTTTTCCCTTTCCTTTTTCTCGCCAAAGTACCGCACACGCGTCACTTGACGAGAGCTCTAATTGCGGGTACTTAAGGAAAAAAGGTCGTCGTTGTCGTCGTCGTCGTCGTGGTTGTGGTTAAAAGTTCAAGTATATATAAGTCCGAAAATCTTCTTCTTATGGCGTGTAGCGTACGTCAGCCAATAGCTAAAAACTATAGGGATATAATTAACGAAAATTAACCTTTAAGCAGAAAGGATAGTCGATTGGCATCAAAGTCGGTGAAAATTGGTGAAAAAAAGGGGAGAGAAAGAGAGAGAAAGAGAGAGAAGAGATTTTTACCTTTTTCTTGACCTTAGAACTGGGAAATGTCTCGTTTATATATGCGCTGTATATGTATTTATACCTGATGGTGATAGAGGATGTTGACAGTTTTAATAAGAGGGGTTTGGTTAGTTACGCAGATGTACCGCGTGCTGACAATTTTTTTTTCCCTCAATTTTCCATTTTGACCGCACTTTTTTCCCATCGTTTTTAAGGTTTTAGTGTATGTATTAGGGAATTGGGAAAATTGATAGGAACTAAAAGAGCAAACGAGGCATAACAACAAAATTGGAACGTGAAAAATGTTATACCAATATATGCTGGAAAATGTTCATGCTGCAACATATGAAGTACAACATTAAGAGAATAAGATTAGGAGCAAAAAAAGAAAAATATAGAAGAAGAGAACTTGAAGAATAACTAAAATAGGAACAACGGTATTAGAAATAATTCACTAAAACAACCAATGAAGAAATGGGGCAAAAATTACAACATAAAATAATTAAGAGCATCAACAATTGTTGATGCTCCTAATTATTTTATGTTGTAATTTTTGCTAAAAAAAACTGAAAGCAGAACAGCATGAAAACGATGAAGAACAACAAATAGAAATCGAACTGCAACATATTAAGTCCAACATTAAGAGAATGAAAACCAACAAAAAAAATAAACAGATGAGAATGAAGAAAAGAGCAAAAATTACAACATAAATAAAATAATTGAAAGCATCAACAAGAAATAAAAGAATAACTGAAAACAGAACCTCATGAAAATAATGAAGAACAACAAATAGAAACCGAACTGCAACAATATAATCATTAAGAGCATTATCTCTTATAATAATAATAATACCGCAATAATAAAAGAAAACAAAAGAAGGAGAAACAAGGAATTACAATAATAGAATTAATTAACTAAATCAGATGCCAATAATCAACCGGGAGTACAATACATAATAAAAATAATTAACAAAATTTTGTTGCCAATAAGGAACTGGAGCAAAAATTACAACATAAATTAAATTTGCGGAGTAACCAAAAGAATAAAAAGTAAAAAACAAGTAATGAAGAACAGGAATAAGATGAAGTGTAACAGAGGTACTACAATAAAATAAAAAAATTGAGAGCACTAACAAGAAATAAATAAATAGAAATTAAAACAACATAACAATAATAAAAATCAAATAAAAATTCCGAAAAGAACTACAACATGAAGTCCAAAATTAAGAGAATGAATTACCAACAAAAAAAAGTAATAACAATAATAAAGAACAAATAAAAATCCGGAAAGTACACTATACAACATATGAAGTCCAACATTAAGAGAATTAATACCAACAAAAACAAGAAATCAGATGAAAAAAATCCTGAAGAACAATAATGAAAATAATTGACATAATCAAAAGCTAAAGAACTATTAGAATAAAAATTACATCATAATTCATCATGGAAATTCTGAAGAACCACAAATGAAAACCAAAAGGGAACAGCAACATCATATGAAGTCCAAACATTAAGAGAAAGATCCATAACAATAAAAGAAAACAAGAGGAAAAAAGAAATCATAATAGAAATAATTAACTAAATCAGTTGCCAATGAAGAATATGTGAATTAGAACAACAATAAAAAACAACTCCAAGATATAGACCAATGATCTACATTTTAACAATAAAATCATATTAAGAATATTTTGATGTCAATAAAGAATTGGAGCAAATGTTGCAGCATAAATAAATGAAATGCTTAAGAACATAACCATAATTATGGTTATGTTCTTAAGCAAACAGAACAGAACTAAAAAAGAAAAGTAATAAAGAACGCTTAAACAAAAGGAACCAGGAACAAGATGAAGATGAACTTGGACAAGAAACAACGAAATAAATAAATACAATAAAGAATTGAGAGCACCAATAAAAAATAAAACAATAGAAATCAGAACATGACAGTAATGAAGAACAACAAATAAAAATGATTAAAAAAGTACCCCAACATAAAGTGCAACATTAAGAGAATTAATATCAACAAAAATAACAAGAAAAAGCATCAGAAGAAGAAGAAGAACTAAATCGATGACCAAAAATATGAAAATAATTAATTAAAAAGAAAGCATTCACAGTTTTTTCAAAAGTATCAAATTGATACTAAAGTGCATCAAATTAATGCCAAAAATTTAGATTAATTTATAATTTGATCCGCACTTTTGGTATCAATTCGTTGCAATTTGATACTTTTAAGTTAACAGTGTTCTGCTTAAAAAGTACACAAATAAAACGAAGAGGTGGAAAAAAATAAAAGCATTTTGAAGGATGTGGTACAATATCTGTTATTTCTTCTTGTTCTTTTTCGTGAAGCCGCGTATACAAAATTTCCCTCGAAATTTTCAAATTAAAATGAAGACAAACTTATTGTTCGAACATAAAGAAGATAAAAATTCCAACACATTTTTTCTACGGATATCAAATTAAGACAAAAAATTTATAAAAAATGTTGCGAAGCAACGTTTTTGATACGTTTTCTGTCTCAATTTTGATATCCTTAGAAAAACTATATGGAAGTTTGAAGTTTAGAAACAAAAGAAAAAAACAACAAATAGAAACAAAAATTGTTTTTGAAATAAGAAAATTAAAATTTCATCATTATGTATATCAAAAATCCATTAAAGAAAAATTTTTATGAAATGAAAGTCTCTATAAAAATGAAGAAGTCTTCTATATATGCCGCTACAAGAAAGAAAAAAAAGGAAAAATCAGCCCCATTCATGTTTTTGTTGTATTGTATTTTCCCACCGACCAATGATGAGTTGATGGGTGTGGTTTGAACTGGACCAATAGAAATTCTAGGATTACAAGAGATTCTTGTTGCACCCACGTTTTATATTTTCTCTCTCTCGCACTCACTCTCTTTCTCTCTCTCTCTCATATTATATCCTAGTCCTTTTCGTCGTATCCTAAATTTCAACATTTTTCGTTCAGTCGTTCCACAATCGCCGAATGTGATAGTTGCGTGTGTTGATACACGTTATTCTTTATGTGTTTAATTATTTTTTTATTTTCATTTCACAATTTCTTGTATGTTTATAGTTTCGTTAATTTTCAAAAATTTTGGAATTATTTCTTGAATTTTCATTTACGTGCGTGTTTTGTGTTTTAAATTTAATTTTTCTTCCGGAGCAAAAAAAAAAAAAGAAGACAATTTCTTTTTTTTTGAGGAAGAGGAAAGAAGGCACGTTCTTTTTTTGCCCGCAAAAAATGAATTTGGTTTCCAGGATGAGTTGGCAGCATCCGATCTACAATCAGGATTTTTATCACCGGCCAGGTTAGTAGATTCTTAATTAATTATTACTAATATTATTGTTTTTATTAATTGTTGGTATTACTATTATTATTATCTATTTATATTATTATTTATTTTTACTATTTTTACTATGTTATATATTATATTTGTATTTATTATTATTAGATATTATTATTTTTATTAGGTTTTGTTAATTTTTTGTTTTTATTTATTATTTTATTTATTATTTTTATTATCATCTATTTCTATTTAATGATGGTCGAAATCTTCTTTCATAATCTTTTTTTTTTATTATTTTTATAGTTATGTATTATATTTATACATTTATTACTATTATTATTATTGTTATTACTGTTATTTTCATTAGCCATGTTATTATCATTATTATAGTAATTCTTATTATACATAAATAATTTTGAACGAAAAAATATTAAAAGATATTATATTAAGGAAGCATTGAACTCTAGTTTCTAGCTTAACATTTATTATTGTTATTGTTATTGTTATTGTTGTTATTATTGTTCATTTGCCTTATTATCATTATAGTAATTCTTAATATTATAAATAAATAATTTTGAACGAAAAAAAAAATCAAAAGTAAGGAAGGATCGAACCCTAGCCCATGGATTTTAAAATCATGTACGGATGCCACTTGGCTACCTCGCAAAGTTGATAATAATTTAATAACAATAATAATTTCATGCGACTATCTTAATATTTTACTATATCTTATTCTTATTATTTTTAGTAAATATATTATGTTAGCCATCATTTTTTGTGTTTTGAAGTTAGAATTATTCAAGTTATTATAAAATTATTAAACAGAAATAATATTTCATTGGCTTAGCAAAATATTTCATTTACTTAGGAAACGAATTTAATATATATATATGAAACGGTCTAGAATTATGAGTCGTAACAATAATCTTGCAAGTTTTTATTCGACATATATACATACATATTTGACACACAGCTGTCCTCGCAGCATAGTTGCAAGAGTTAATGACACTAATTTGAAACATTCTAGGTTTCACTCATCATTTGATCACTATCAAACAATCTCATTTTTTTTCTTTTTTTTTTGAATAATAAACTACATCTTCTTTGTAAAATCGCATTTTTTTCCTAGAATTTATATAACCTGTTTGCAAATTTTAATTTTCTTAAAAATAATTAATAGTATTTTTAATTTTACAAAACAAAAAATCACAAATCAATGGTAGCATTGAATAGTAAAAATTTTTTTTTCATTTTTACTAAATCTATCGACTATTTATCGCTCTTCGGACTTCAGATTTGTAATTCTCGACCTTATTTTAGTAGAAAACGAGTACCATGAAGTGGTAGTTCATTTTTCAAAAAAAAATTCCAATTTTGACCCTAAAAAACCAAAATTTTCATTTTTTGAATTTAGTTCTTTAATATTTGAACAAAACTCATATCGAATAATGAAAATGATTTAAATATAATAATATTAATATTTTACCAAATTCATCGACTATTTATCGCTCTTTGGACTTTAGATTTGTATTCCTCGACCTTGTTTTAGTAGAAAACGAGTACCCAGAACGGGATGGTTCATTTTTTTTGAAAAAATACAAATTTTGACCCTAAAAAAAGTAGCTTAATATTAATATTATTAATATTGGTAAGGGGCTGTCCGTAAATTACGTAAGATATTTTTTTTTGGAAAATTTCACCTCCCCCTCCCCCCTCTTAAGATATTTTACATACATTAGCGCCATTTTTTCTATTGTTCGTAAGAACTTATTGCTGACCCCCCCCCCCTTCGCCTCTAAATGCCTTATGTAATTTATGGACGGCCCCTAATTATTAAAATTAATAGTAAATTAATTAATAGAGGGCAGAGAATAATAATAATTTAGTAATAATGATAATAATAATAATTATTATTTAATAATAGTAATAAAAATAATAATAATAATAGTAATAATAATAATAGTAATATTAATAATAATAGTGATTTAATAATAATAAAATAAATTAATAATAAATAAAATACAATATTGTAACCAGAGTCTATAAAGTTGTACTATAGAGTAATTCGGAATAGAGTCGGAACCACCCCCTTTATAAATAATGCATTAAAAGTCCTCCTCTATGACTATAATAAAAAAATACTGTCTGAGGGCCGGGCATCTGCCCCGCTTGGTTCTTGTCGACGAGAAAAAAAATGGGCCTGTTTTAGGCTCACAAGTGATTACTGATTACAAACACTAATTCTTTCATATATATATATATATATATATATATATATATATATATATATATATATATATATATATACATATATAACGTCACGCTAGAAAACCGCCTGATGCGAGCACAGGAGGACCTTCCTTCGAGTCTGGCGCCAGACCCCATCCCCCCTCTCTGTCTCTCTCTCTGACAAAATCGGGAATAACTCAAAAATATTTTTTTGATGACCGTAAAATTTTCACGATGCTTATTAGCAGATTTTTTTTGCCGTAACGTTTCGATTTTTACCCCATTTTCAACCCCTTATAACTGTTATATGATAAAATCGCAAAAATGTTATGCTTCCGGAAATTAGGATTTCTTAAAGGACGTTTCTGTAATTTCCAAGGATATGTACTAAGTATACTTGGGAGGTCGTTAAGATATGTTGAAACATTAATTACCTGGGACGTTCTCTAGATGGGGAAAATTGGTGCATTTAAATTTAGGGATGTTGAAGGTTATAGGGCACTTTTAAATGTTCAGGAATGTTAAATTTAGGGAAATTTGTTTTTTTTGGTTTTATTATTATTATTATTATTATTATTATTATTATTATTATTATTATTATTAATTATTATTATTTTTATTATTATTATTAATTATTATTTTTATTAATTTTAGATTTTTATTTAATTCATTTTCTATTTTTACTCAATTTATTTATTTTTTCTATCCATTTGTTGATATTTTACTTTAATTTTTACGTTTTTTTTAGTTAATTTTTACGTTATAAATATAAATCAAAACATTTAAAAAATTTTCTATTTTTTTCTACTTTTTTAGGTTAAATTTTCCAACACAGTCATTAAAGACAACCTTTTTTTGACAATTTTTTAACAAATTGTACTCTTATTGTTAAATTTTCCAACACATTTAATATTTTTTCTATTTTTGCCTTTTATTTTATTTATTTATTTTCTATTTTATTTTTTAGCTTCTTATTTGTTAATTTATTATTTACTATTTATTTTCTATTTATTTACTATACTTTTTTTCTATTTCTATCTAATTTGTTAATTATTTTACTTTTATTAGTTTATTTTTACGTTAAATATAAATCAAACATTTAATATTGTTTTTATTTTTAGCCTTTTATTTTATTTATATTTTATATTTTTATTTTCTGTTTTAGTTTTATATTTATTGTTATTATTTTTATTATATTATTATTATTTATTACTATTATTTATTTATTATTTTTATTTAATTTTTATAGTGAAAATGTACCCAGTAAAAAAAAATATTCAAAAGAGAAAAATAATATTTGTGATAACTTATGCTGAATGCGTTTTCGCGTGAAAACCGTATATTTGGAGGTTATAGGGTGAATACATTTTGCGTACCATGAATATATATTTTTTTAAATTTTGAATTATAAAGATTTCTAAGCAACGTTGGCAATATTTATATGGAGAGCGTATAATAAAAAATAGTAAATCAGATGTTCGTTTTTTTTATATTTTCCAACACAGTCATTAAAGACAACCTTTTTACACTGTTATTTTCATTGCTCTCAATTCTCAATATGAGAGAAATATATATTTTTCAATCATAAATCAATCATTTTTAGCACATACATAAAAATATATGTGCTAAAAATCTGAATTTGAATCAGAATTTTTATAGTTGTTTCGTTAAATTTTCCAACACAGTCATTAAAGACAAAGTTTTTTGACAGTTTTCGTTTTCTCTTTTTGCCAACTCATTATAATAACCATAAAAGTAACAATGTTACAAGATAGGCAACTTCAATGTTCAACATGTTATTGCAAATCGAACTTTCGTATTAATGCCTTTCTGCACTAAAGTTTACATAATGGTCCTTCTGCACTAAAACAACTCTAATAGCCCTTCTACATTAAAAACAACCCTATTAATAGCCCTTCTGCAATAAAATTAACCTTCTCACCTGTATACACGAAACAAAAACACGCGACAGTTTTAATATAACATAGACAATGATAATTGTATATTTTACATAAACAGAACGGCAACTTAAAAAAAAAACCCAAAAAAGCGAAAAAAAAATAGTAAAGCGTTTCCCATGAAGCATAATACAGTGATGAGGTGTGCGACTACGACATTATAGGGATTAGTATAGAAGCGGTATCGTTTGAAACTACTTCGGATGATGGACCACGAATAGAGAGATGTCCTGGTCGGCGAGACTACACACTTCATATACATATATGTGAAGGGGCATAAGAGAAGAGAAAAAAAAAATAACAGCGCATGAATGGATGCTGCACTTGCCTTCCTTTTTCTTCTTTGGCGCCGAGTTGCTTGTGGTGATACACGGTTCCTTGGTCACTGCATTATCCTACAGGGATAATTGGCATTGACCAAAAGGGGCAGAGAAGAGGGGAGTGGGGGGGTCCAGGAGACAGTTCCTTCTTGGTTACCTATATATGTATATATATATTCCTCTTTTTTTTTTACAAGCAGCAGATAACGATTGTCCGGTTCACTTGACTGCTTGACTAGAAGCGGTACACGTTTGATGTGGAAAAATCACCGTAAATTCCCACCCAAAAAAATAGAAAGAGAGAGGGCATGTTTTTTTTATATTTCTGCGTCATCACGTATTAGTTTCTATTTTCTCCGATTTTTTTTTTGCAATTTTCTCTACGTAAATCTTATTTTTCTGAAATTTTACCCCCCCCCTCCTCCTCTTCTCTTTTCTTAAGACAAAAAATTAACATAAATTTGTACCATTTTTTGGAAAATTTACCCCCCTCCCCTCTCCTTTCTTAAGAGAAAATTATCATAAATTAGCACCATTTTTTCGCAATACTGATATTGGTATAAGAAAACTCCACCCCCCTTAAAACTTTACGTAATTTATGCGGACAACCCCAAACTTATTAGGTTGTTTTTTTTATTTTTTTGGGGGGTAGGGGGGTAATTATTCATTTGGAGCTTCCCTGGTGTAGAATATGTAGTAATTATTAATAATTAATAATATATAATAATTCCCTGACTTGTTTTATATTTTGTTTTGAAATTTACATTTTGAGGTTATGTTTCAAATTTGGTTTTTTATTAATATATGGTAATTGTTAACTTTCTAAAGCGGAATCGTGTTTTTTTTTTAAATATTTTAAACCTTTTTAGTCTCATTTGTTTTGTATTTTGAGGTTACGTTTCACTTTCGTGTTTTTATTAATATATTTTAAGCATTTTTAGTCTTTATTTGTTTTACATTTTGAGGTTATGTTTCATTTTTCTAAAGAAAAAATTGTTTTTATTTTTATTTGAGTTTGAAGTCTAAAATTTTTTGGCTTTCTTTTTTTTGCAGAATTCACCGCTGGACATAATTTTTGGTTTCCCCAATCAACGCTCGGTAGTGGTCCACAACTTACTGAAGATGTTAAAGTCGAACTACAGAGTCGTAAACTATGGTCCAAATTTCATGGGGAGAATACCGAAATGATCATTACAAAAAGTGGACGGTGAGTTTTTTTTATACATAATTTATAATTAGGGATTATTGAAAAAATACTTTACAGTTTTTTTTGAAAATGTTTACCCCCCCCCCATCCCTGTGTCATTTTATTACAAAACTATACTTTTAGAAAAAAACGGTTTTAGTAGAAAGCAAATATTATTATTCTTACTATTAAATAATTTTAACCCCCCCCCCTCCCTCCTTGTTATTTTGTTTCAAAACTACTTTAAAAAACCGATTTTAGTAGAAAGCAAATATTATTCTTAGTATTAAAAAATTTTAACCCCCCCCCCTCTCGTTATTCTGATACAAAACTACTTTTTAAAAAAACGGTTTTAGTAGAAAGCAAATTTTATTATTATTATTACTATTGTTCTTAATTTGATTATTGTTATTATTATTTTTAACTTTATCAGACCCGACAAATAATCTTTACTTTTTTCGTGGAATTTTCCAACACTGTCATTAAAGACAAGCTTTTTTTGACACTTAAATTTGAATCAGAATTTCTACTTTTTTAGGTTTAATTTTTCCAACACAGTCATTAAAGACAACCTTATTTTAACAATTTTTTTTAAGAATTTCTACTTTTTTAGGTTAAATTTTCCAACACAGTCATTAAAGACAACCTTATTTTGACAATTTTTTTAAGAAATTGTACTCTTTTTTTGTTAAATTTTCCAACACAGTCATTAAAGACAACCTTTTTTTGACAATTTTTTTAAGAAATTGTACTCTTTTTTGTTAAATTTTCCAACACAATCATTAAAGACAACCTTTTTTTAACAATGTTTTAAGAAATTGTACTCTTTTTTTGTTAAATTTTCCAACACAGTCAGTAAAGATAAACTTTTTTGACATTGTTTTCGTTTTCGCTTTTTGACAACTCATTATAACCATAGAAGTAACAATTTTACAAGATAGAGAACTTCATTGTCGCCAATGTTGTGAAATTCGTATTAATGCCTTTCTGCACTAAAGTTAACTTAATGGCCCTTTTTATACTAAAATTCGCACCTATAATGGCCTTTCTGCACTAAAATTCGCCTAAAAAGGCTTTTCTACAATAAAATTTGTCTAATGGCCTTTCTGCACTAAAAATCACCTCCACTGCCCTTTCTTCACTAAAATCAACCTAATAATCCCATTTGTCTTGCGATCTACGCATATACGACCAGTTATTTAATAAAGAGAAAAACTGTCGCCAATTTACTGTCTGGTGATCAGCATCCGGTCGGCACTTGTGGTCCTTATGTTATTGAAAAAAAAATGAAAAAGAATGAAAAAAGGTGGACTCTAAAAAACTATATATATATATATATACATATATAGTAGTAAATAATAATCCTCATAGGCACGAATAGCCAGAGATCAAAAACTTGAGTTCGTTAAACCGGGAAGCGATACCTTTTAAAGACGTATTTCGTATTCAACCGAATCAACGTTGCGCGACTAAGCACTTCACTTCTATTTTGTCTACATCTTATTTTTCTCTTTGCTTTTTTCTTTTCATTTTTTGCCGTCATCGCCATGGTAGAAAAGAAAAACACCTGTTAAAATGAAGAAAGAGTAATTTTACTCTTTTTTAAAAATTTTTTACCCCCTCCTCCATTTTTTCTCTTATCTTACCCCCTCCCCCCTCTTCCTCAAAAGGAAACTACCCCTAACTATTATAAATTTAAATGATATCTTTAGATTTTCTAATTTTATAGGTTAGGTTTTATAGGTTAGGTTTATAAAGACAAAAAATCAAAAAAGAAGAATTATTTTTAAAAATTGGTCGCAATTTTGCATTGCGGTAACCGGAACTATTTTTTAAGAAGCTATCATCGATACACGAGAGAGGATAGATTTCTAAAAATGAGTCATAAGTTTATATGCTGTTGTCGGTGGTTATATAGAGAATAGGAGAGAGAGAGAGAGAGAGAGGGTAGAAAGGGTACTTTTTAAGGAAGCTACAGGGGGTCCCACATTGACGGTTAGTCCCAAATCTTTTTTGGGGTCCACTGAAGTGGACGGAGCGGACCGATAGACAGTCTCGAGTGGCGCCTAAAACTACTTTTCTTTGTCTTAAAAGACAAGGACCCCGCCTTGGCCACCGCTGGCGAAGACATATCACACACACATTTATATATACCGATCGACGACGTGCCAACCAACATTCCAAAACTTATTGGTTTTTGAAACATAAAAAATAATTTTCTTCTCCCTTTTTTCACGCATATCTACATGCGTCAAAATTTTTGTCTCTTTTTTGTTTTTTTGAAAAAAAGGTCTTAAAGTAGGTTTAAACTAAAGTTTTTTCTAAACTTTAGTTTAGACCTAGTTTATAGGATTAAAATTTATAGTTTTTACCGATATTTTAGCAGGTGGATCGAAAATTATAAAAATTTAAGTCGTAAACTTTATGAGATAGAAAAGAAGGGAAGTAGCACTTGTCCTTTTCTATCGCATGTGAACTTTGGGGTTTAGTTTTAAGATTTTTTATTATTCTGAACTTATAAGTTAGGCCTCAAATATATTGGACTACATATATAATATAAAAGCCTATATATATTAGGCCTAACTTATAAGTTTCGAAAAATTATTCTATACTTATTTTTCAATTTTTATAATTTATGATAAATATTCTAAACTTATAAGTTAGACGTTATGTTTAAGGCGTAACTTATTTTAGAATAATTTTATATTTTGGGATAATTATTATATATTTATAAGTTAGGCCTAATGTATAAGCTTATTATATATTATATATAACCTTATATACTGTCCTAACTTATAAGTTTAGTAAATTTTATAATTTATAGAATAATTATCCTAAACTTATATAAGTTGTGCCTAATATATAGGCTTATATATTTAAGACCTAACTTATAAAATTATAATTAATTAAGTTAGACCTAACTTATAAAATTATAATTAGTTAAGTTAGGCCTAACTTATAAGTTTAGAATATTTATTATAAATTATATAAAATTATTCTAAACTTATAAGTTAGGCCTTAAATATATATAAGCCTATATATTAGGCCTATCTTAAATAAATTTTAAAATTATTCTAAACTTATAAGCTAGGCCTTAAATATATTATAGGCTACATATATAATATATAAGCCTATATATATATTAGCCCTAACTTATGAGTTTAGAATAATTTTCTAATTTCTAGAATAATTATTCTAAATTTATAAGTAAGGCCCTAAACATAAGACCTACCTTATAAGTTTAGAATAATCAAAATCTTAAAAAGCGCAAAGTTCAACTCATAAGGCCTAACTTATAGCTTTAACTGCCAAACTTTTAAGAATTTAGTAATTAATAAATAGTATAAATATTTAATAGTTTATATATATTTATATATTCACGATGTAAATTTACGCGGAACTGAATGAAAACTTTTTCCAAAATCTAACCTAAAATTTTTTTCATTTCCGGTCCGTTAAAATCGTTAAAATGTAAAAAAAAAAATATATGTTTAAAAATATGAAAAATGAAAAAATACCAGATGGAGTTTATAAAGGAATATTTTTTTTTCTTTTTACGATACTTATGGTTTAAAGTATATACACATACATAATAGGGTTAGAAAATTGAATATTCTCTCTTAAGTATTTATACGCATTTATATATTTTGTGAGAGCTAGTAGAGGTGTTGCAAGGACGATCGTGTCAAAGAATACCGATCAGTTACAAAGATTTTGTGTTATAGTCATAATTTTTCTCGAAGCACATGGTTGGCACGTGGTCAGTGGTGGAAATTGAGAAAACCTTTCTTTCTTTCATTCCTTCCTTCCTTCCTTCGCTCAAAAGGAAAAATAGAATACAATGTTAGGATATTGCGTCTGGGACCGCCCGTGAACACGTCGCCAATTTAAATATTGTATATGTATACCATACTAAATGCGCAAAAGATTCATTTCACCACCGGAAGTTTTCGATTAACAAAACAACAAGAAAAATAACAACAAAACTTGTGTGTCTGCTCTCTCTCTCTCTCTCTCTCTTTCTTTCCTGGTCTTTTTGAGCGGAAATTATCAAATTACTTCCTCTTTCAAGTATGTCTGGAATTTAATCACTATTTTGCATAAGTTACGTGGTTTCTTACTATTTTAGTCCAGTGTCCAGCATCGCTTACAATTTAAAAAGAATTTTTTTCGTCTTTGTTTATTTTTTTCATTTTTATTTATTTTTTTCGCTTTTATTTATTTTATTTCGTTTTTATTAAGTTTTCTAGCTCTTATTAATATTTTTTGAGTTTATATTTAGTTTTTTAGATTTTACTCAGTTCTTTCAGTTTTTTTTTTAGTTTTTATCTATTTTTTTAAGTTTTATTTATTTTTTCACCTTTTTCTATTTATAACTTCACTACAAACTTATTTTGAATATTATTCATACTCTCAATCGACTTAATAGTACAAAAAGTCTATTTGACACTAAGGTAAAAAATCGAAAGAAGTTATTTTTAATTTTTACTAAATTTATCGACTATTTATCGCTTTTCGGATTTCAGATTCGTAATCCTAGACCTTATTTTAGTAGAAAAGGAGTACCATGACAAGGTGGTTCATTTTTTCAAAAAAATCAAAATTTTGACCCTAAAAATCAAAATTTTCATTTTTTTGAATTTTAATTCTTTAATATTAAAATAAAACTCTTCGAATAATAATAATAATAATAATAATTAAAATATAATAATTTATCGACCGAGTGATAGCATCATTACTATATATATAAAATATAGTAATATTACTTTACTAAATTTTTCGACTATTTATCGCTCTTCGGACTTTAGATTTGTAATCCTCGAGCATATTTTAGTAGAAAACGAGTACCATGAAGTAATAGTTATATTTTTCGAAAAAATCCAAAATTTTGACCCTAAAAATCAAAATTTTCATTTTTTTGAATTTTAGTTCTTTAATATTAGAACAAAACTCACCAATCAATAAGAATTATTTAAATATAATAATAATAATAATTATAATAAAATACCGTAATATAATAATAAATATTCTTTGAATTCTATTTTAAAAAGTAGATTACAAAATTTTTTTTGACGTTTTTAATCATTTCGAAAGCACATTTCCTTGTTTCGGTGGAAATAAGCGAAATCATTCTGAAAATTCCCCGACTTTAAATCAGATAAGATTATTACCATATCAAAGAAAAGCACTCGCGTGCGCTTCTACATTGGGACAGGACGGAAGTCATTTTAGATGGCTGGAAGGTAGGAGGTTTGCATGGGTGGAAGATATACATAAAGGATGAGTTGGAGTTCCGGTTTTCTTTGGAAGTCGTGCCTCGCTTTTTTCTACATTTAATTTTTCTCTAATTTGCTTTTTTTCATTTTTAAATTTTGTTTTTTTTTCAAATTTTGATTTTTCTATTTTCATTATTATTTTTAATAATATTTATATCTATTATAAAGACCCTACTTTTAAAAATATCGACTTGTGATGGTAGTATTTTTTTTTTATTTTTATTTTAAGATATGAATTAGTGTAGAACCTATTTAGGGCCCTATTTTTAAAAATACCTACTAACTAGTATTACCTACTAACTAATATAACCTACTACTAGTGTTTTTTTAGAAAGTTTGAAATTTTTCGACATGAAGCCTATTGAAAACCCAACTTTTAAAAAATACCTACTAACTAGTATTACCTACTAACTAATATAACCTACTACTAGTATTTTTTTAAAAATTTGAAATTTTTCTACATGAAGCATATTAAAGGCCCTACTTTTAAAACATACCTACTAACTAGTATTACCTACTAACTAATATAACCTACTAGTATTTTTAAAAAAAATTGAAAATTTTTTACATGAAGCATATTGAAGATCCTACTTTTAAAAATAAGTACTAACTAGTATTACCTACTAATATTACCTGCTACTAGTATTTTTTAAATTTGAACATTTTCGACATGAAAAATATTTTGAAGACCCTACTTTTAAAAATACCTACTAACTAGTATTACCTACTAATATAACCTACTAGTATTTTTTAAAATTTGAAAGATTGAAGACCCTTCTTTTAAAAATACCGACTTGTGATAGTATTTTTTAATTTTAACATAAATTGATATGTAGCCTATTGAAGTCCCTAATATTTTTAAAAATAACTACTTGTGATGGTATTTATTTATTATTCCCATTTTACTAATATGAGTATAGAGTATGGAACCACAATTGAGGACAGTCGTTATTTTAAAAGTACCTACTTGTAATAATTTTTTTTCTTCCACAAAAGCGCCAAGTGTTATAATAGAAAAAATTAGATGCGAGGAAAAATACTCGAGATCTGGAAAATGTAAAAATTGGAGATTATTTTTTTTTTCTTTGGGTTAAGGAGACGAAGAGAATTAGGCGCCAGGAGAATTATCATAGATGAATTTTTTTTCGTTCCACATGAGGACTTTGGCAGATATAGTCCCACGGATATACACATTTATATTCTTTATTTTGTATATTTGTGTGTGTGTGTGTGAGTGTGTGAATGTAGATGTGGGGTCCCTTTTTATTTAGTGGCCCTCTCAAGTGCTCTCTCCCTTCTTTGCTACCAATTTTCTTCACGCTCCGTTCCGGGGCCGACGCATGACGACTCTAGAGAGGCGCCTGACGTCGCCGCCTACTTGATACCTCTACCTGACTTATGTCGTCTAACATCCTCTTCCACTGATTCTCATCACAAACTCTTTTCACTGTGAGAGAGAGAGAGAGACAGAAAAAAAATCATTAACTTTAATTATCCGAGAAAGCTTTTAAGATTCTTTAATGACTTTTCTTCACTAATTAACATTTTTTCCGTAAATATATACAAATCTTTTTCTTTTTGGTATTTTTGGTTATTAATTTTGCTATTTTGTATTTTGTATTTTAAATTTTAAATTTTACTTTTTTTTTGTTTTTTGACATTTGTCACGCGTCGAGGAGAACAAAAAGCAAAATTTTAAACGTTGTTTTGTTACGTCCATCAATATTCTTATAAATCTTATTAACATTTATCTTTTATTATTTAATTAACTTAATAAGGAATAAAAAGCAAAATTTTATAGGTTATGTTTTGTTATGTCCATCAATAATCTTATAAATTTTATTAACATTTATCTCTTATTATTTAATTAACTTAATAAAGAATGAAAAAGCAAAACTTTATAGGTTATGTTTGTACTCAGTTGACCTTATTTTGAATTTCTTATACTTACAATTATAACGTAATTATATTTCTTATTTTCAAAATTCCATTCCATTTTATAATTTTATTTAATAGTTATTTTATTATTTATAATTTTATTTACTTTGTTTTTTAATTTATTTTTATTGCAATTTAATTTTGACTATTAAAATACCACTTCAATATTTTTTAAACAATATTCATATAAATCTTATTAACATTTCTCTTATTATTTAATTAACTTAATAAAGAACAAAAAACAAAATATATAGGTTATGTTTGTACTCTGTTGACCTTATTTTGAATTTCTTATACTTTTACTTACAATTTCAACTTAATTATATTTCTTATTGTCAAAATTCCTTTCCATTTCAGAATTTTATAGGTTATGTTTGTACTCAGTTGACATTATTTTGAATTTCTTATACTTACAATTTCATCGTAATTATATTTCTTATTGTCAAAATTCCATTCCATTTCCAAATTTTATAGGTTATGTTTGTACTCAGTTGACCTTATTTTGAATTTCTTATACTTACAACTTCAACGTAATTATATTTCTTATTGTTAAAATTCCATTCCATTTCAGAATTTTATTTAATAATTTTTTATTATTTATTTTTATTTATTATTTTATTTACTTTGTTTTTTTAATTTATTTTCATTACAATTTAATTTTGACTATTGAAATATCATTTCAATATCCGTAGAAAAAGTGTGATTTTTTAAAATAATTTTCACCTTCCTCCTCTATACCACAAGTATAAAATGGAAAAAATTCAATATGGATGAAACCTCTTGAGATTTTTATTTATTTGTCCACTCACATATATATGGAGGAGGAGGAGCGGAAGGAAAAAAAATATCGAAAAAGGTCCACTTTGGAAGCTTGCAATCATGTACGTAAACAGACGAAACAGAAGACAAAAGAAAGATTGACTTTTCGGACTTGACTTACGGATTAGACAAGTTTGAAATGTTTACATAGTCGAGGGAGCTCGTCGATAAAGATCAAAAGACTTGTCAATGCTTCTGAAGTCCCAAAAATGGTCACTAAACTCTCTCACTCACTCTTTTATATACTCTTTCCCTCTCACTCTCTCTCTGTCTCTCGAAAAACTCCACTGACTCCACCCAAAATGTGTCCCATCGTTAATGACCAACCGCGCCTTTGGAAATTCTTACCTTCGAAACTATATACTTAAAAAAAAGGAAAAAAATCGACAAAATATGAAAATTGCGTCAATTTTTCTTTTTCCACTTTACGAAAATGATACCTTCCGTCCTGCCCGCCCCTACAGGAAAAAATAATCCACTTTGGTGAATTTTAGGTTATGATTGACTGTAAAAAATTTTGTGTAAACGACGATCTCGAATTACAAATTAAAATACCAAGCTTTGAACTTTGTTGCGCATGCGCAATATTTCTATAGAGAAAATCGAGAAAATAAATATTTGGAAGGAAAAAAAATATAGTAAAAATAAGGAGAGGATGAGAAAATATTGGGGAATTTTCTCGCATTCCTCAAATGGTTGCTCTTGATTTTTTTAACGAATTAAGGATCATCTTTAACGAGCGCATTGTTTTAGGCGAAGAAAAACCCCCGAGAACATATAAATATATACTTTTGCTAAAAGCACCTACTCATCCTTGCGGACTGTGTGCGGCTTCCCCTTTTACTACACTACTATATATATACATAAGTAGCCAGACGTGACTTTTTGTTTTACTTAACTTAAAATCTGTACCTGTTATTTTTGAAAAAAAATTCCCTCATATTCCCGGCTTTCCCCATACATTTGTTTTGACTGCTTGCGGAAAAAAGGGAAAAACAAAAAGTTGTCCTACATATTCGCTCCACTTTTCTCTGTGAACAATTTTCAATTTTATTCGCAGAAACATAACCTATAAATTTTTTGCTATTTCCCTTCTTCGCAGGGCGTCACAATTGTAAATAAAATAATAAAATGTGACGCTTTCCGAAGAAAGAAATTGTCAAAAAATTACAAACATAACCTAAAATTTTTTTGTTTGATTTCGAACCAAAAAAAAATTTAATGATAAAAAAAAATTGTTTTCAGGCGAATGTTTCCGGCAGTTCAGGTGTGCGTGAGCGGTTTACAGAAGCGAGCTCGCTACGTCGTCATTTTGGAAATTGCGCCAGCGACGAATCGTCGTCACAAATACGTAACCGATGGAAATTTGGAGTGTAATAATATTGGAAAAATATCGTCAACGAGAGGTTGGACGTCAGCTGGACCCGCGGAGCCTCAACCACCGCAGAATCGACGAATTTACATGCATCCCGATGGTCCAGCCACTGGTGCACACTGGATGCAGCATCCGATAAATTTCAGTAAATTGAAAATCACCAACAACGCCGTCGATCCCCACAGTCACGTAAGTGTATATTTTTTTTAAATATTTCTAAAAATGATATTTATTAATTCTTGTTTTATAGCAGAGATTTTAGAGAAATGAAAAATATGCCCCGAAGTCTGGAGTTGGAAGCGAAAAAGACAATTTTGACATAATATATTAAAGTCCTATTGCACTGGGAAATTGTATAACAAAAATTTTTACTCAAATATTAAAAACACGAAGGAGAAGAGAAACATATGATAATAATTATCGTCCTATTGCACTGGTGAACTGTATAACAAAAAATTTTCACACAAAGAGAAAAACAACAATATTGACAATTGTTGGCCTATTGCACTGGGTAAATTGTATAACAAAAATTTTCACACAAAGAGAAAAACAAAAATAACAACAATATTGACAATTGTTGGCCTATTGCACTGGTAAATTGTATAACAAAAATTTTCACACAAAGAGAAAAACAAAAATAACAACAATATTGACAATTGTTGGCCTATTGCACTGGTAAATTGTATAACAAAAATTTTCACACAAAGAGAAAAACAAAAATAACAACAATATTGACAATTGTTGGCCTATTGCACTGGTAAATTGTATAACAAAAATTTTCACACAAAGAGAAAAACAAAAATAACAACAATATTGACAATTGTTGGCCTATTGCACTGGGTAAATTGTATAACAAAAATTTTCACACAAAGAGAAAAACAAAAATAACAACAATATTGACAATTGTTGGCCTATTGCACTGGTAAATTGTATAACAAAAATTTTCACACAAAGAGAAAAACAACAATATTGACAATTGTTGGCCTATTGCTATTGCACTGGTAAATTGTATAACAAAAATTTTTACTCAAATATCAACATTCAGACGAAGAAACAAAAACAGCCCTGACAATTAGCGCAAATCTTATAGAGTTTTGAAGATACTATTTTCTAAATTTTAATGGTCGCTTGATGATAATAATTAATTAATGATAATGAAAATAACATTTATTATAAACTATAACAATGCAAAGTATAAAATAAATAAAATAATTATAATTAAATAATAATTATATAATAATTAATTAATAATTAATTAATAATAAATAGTCAATGATACTTAATAACAAGTAGTTATAACTATAACAAAGAAAAGTATAAAATTAAATAGAAATAAACAAAAATATTTAAATAAATAGTTAAAAAAATTATTTTAAACAATAAATAAAAAAATAAATAATAAACAAAATAAAATAAATTATAAAATAAAGAAACTAATTAAATTAGTGAAAAGTACGGTTAATAGTAAAATTTAATAAAAAAATAAAAAAAAGTACGGTTTAATAGTAAGAAAACGGTTTAAAAAATAAAAAAACAAAAGAAAACCGGAAGTTTGGAATAATTTTTTTTTTAGATAATATTCTATTGTACATAAAAAAATCAATGCCCAGTGACCATTAATTTAAAACATGGTGTTTTTTTGTGTGAATTGTTTAGACAGCTTTTGTTTCGAATAGGTATTGCATCCCTCTCGCGATTGACTTTGACATCTCAAATTTCAAAGTACGTTAACCGACGAGTGTCTCTCGTGTATATTATGAATTTTGGGGGGTCCTTCAATGTAGGTCTGCTTCTTCGTCTTCTTCCTCCTCCTTCTCTTCATAATAATCATCCATGGGAAAAGTTTCTGTTTGATTTTTCTTCTATTAAATATTATTTGACTTTTCCTTCTCAAACACGCACGCCTCCCTCTCTTTTTATATTTGACTCTCAATAAATCACTACATATATGAGAACCACATAATATTTCAACATACACGTCTCTATTATTTTCTCATTATTTCAAACTCTTCACTGAAAAAAGAGGGAACTATTTTTCACATAATATTTTTATATATTCGTATTAATAAATTGATAAATTTTTCGTATTTTCTATAAAAATTGTTTGAAAATTGATTTTTTCTGTTTTATAAAAATTAATTCAATTAAATTAACTAAATTTAATAAACTAATAATAAATAAACAATAATAATGAATAAATAATAGTAATTAAAAAATAATAATGAATAAATAATAATAAATAAACAATAATAATGAATAAATAATAATAAATAAATAATAATGAATAAATAATAATACATAAACAATAATAATGAATAAGTAATAATAAATTAACACCTAATAATGAATAAATAATAATAAATTAACAATAATATTTTATTTCTTTCTTCGTTTATTTATTTATTATTTTATTTTTTTATTTTTTATTCGTTTATCTATTATTTTATTTTTTTTTATATAATATTTAGTAATTAATTAAATTTCAATTCAACTTAATTTTAAAATTTTTAATTAAAATCTTAAATTTTTCTTTCCTTTCTTTTTTTTTTTGCTTATACTTTGTATTTGCGAAGTGAAATTATTTTAAATAATAATAATAATAATAATAATAATAATAATGGCGTGAAGTGGATTCTTGTCGAAAAATTCATTCTGAATTACAAATTCGATACTTTTATAGAGACGGGTTAGTTTCTTATCTTTGGGATACATTAGAGCTACCGTTAGACATTTGACCTCCCGGGCACCTTTAAAATCCAATTTGTATTAAAAAATAGTCGAATTTCAATTGAAGAATTTTTTCTATTAATAAAAAAAACTGTTAAAAGTGGGTTTTTTTTTTCTTTGACATTCACCGACGAAAAATTCATCGATCTTTTTTAAAAATCCTTCTCAATTAATTAGGGGTTTTTCCAAACAAAAAAATAAATATAAATAAACTATAATAAATAAATAAAACGAAAAAAAATAACGAAAGATAAAATTTATCAAAAAATAAAACGTAAAGAAACAAAATTGTTACTATAAAATTTAAAGAAAAAAAAAATTTAAATAATAAAATTAATAATAAATTAATAAAATTCAATAATGTTAATTAAAGCAGAATATTATTATTACAACTAGAAAATGTTACGCGCACTGAGATATTCAATTTATTTTTATTATTATTATGCAAATTACAAAATTTTTATTTTCAAATATGAATTTTTGAATACTTTCATATTCAAAATTTAAAAAAATTTAAATATTCAATTAAATTACTAATTAATTTTATTCTTGTTTATTAATTTTAAAAATTTTAATAAAATTCTTCACAAGAATTCAATTATTTTCAAAACAATTTCAAGAAATAATTATCAATTTATTTTTTAATTCGTTATAAAATATTTTTAAAAAATTCAATTATTTTCTAAAATTTTAATAAATTCTTCGAATAATTCAATTATATTTAAATTAATAATAAAATTCTTGTCAAAAATTCAATTATATTCAAAACAACTTCATGAAAGAATTGAATTTTTAAAAAAATTCTAATAATACTTTTCGAAATAATTCAATTATTCTATAAAATTTTAATAAATTCTTTGAATAATTCAGTTATATTTATTAATAATAAAATTCTTTGAAAAAATTCAATTATTTTTAATACAATTTTAATTCATTTCTAAAATTTTAATAAATCCTTCGAAACAATTCAATTATGTTTATAAATAGTAGATTTTTTTTGCAAAACTTCAATTATTTTCAAAAAAAATTCTACGAAAGAATTCAATTTTTTTTCTTAATTCGATTAAATACAATTTTTCATAAGAATTCAATTATTACTTTCTAAAATTTTAATAAAATACATAATAATTAAATGTTTAAGTAAAATTTTTAACAAACACGATTATTTTAAAAATGGATTGCAAAAAAAAAATTGGGAAAAAAAAGAGAATGAATAAAAATTAGAAAAAAATTTTAAAAAATTAAAAAAACGATAGAAAAATTATTTATAGAAATAGTAATAAATTATTGCAAAGGAAGAAAAAAATTTGAAACTACATACATATATATACGATGAGAGAATTCATTTTAAAAAAAGTCTTACGCAATTTTTGCGCGCAAGTATATGTGTGTGGGTTATATATCCACACTTCTTAAAATTTATCCATATTATGATGATTTAAGGAGCGCGACTACATATATTTCTATATACTCGTAATAATTCCTGCGCGCGCGTATGATCGCGTGTGTATCTTTTTCTCAAACGAATGTTGAAATTCCAGGAATAAAGAAGAGGGCCAGTTTTAATTTCAAGAATCTCGTCTGATGTCTCTTGGTTTCCTTTTCTCATTTTATATTTATTTCACTCTCCCCCTCAATATAATATATATATATACGCACCGAAAACGGCGCCAATTTTTATCTCTCCAGCGAAAAACGCGGCATTATATGAGCAGCGCGCGGTAGCGGCACCCTTGAACGAATTCCGCAAAATTAGTCGCGATTTTTAATAAGATGAGAGGAGAAAAAGTATAAAAGCCGACCCCCCCCCTCCCACCCCCCTTCTCTTCTCGCTATTAAAAATTACCTTCTTTAACACACTTTTGCCGACTTTTTATCGTATTAATCTTTACACCTCCCTGAATATATTGACAAAAAGGGGAATTATTATTTTTCCGAGTATATTTAAATAAATTGAAAGTAAATAATTTTTCTTCCTTATACGAATCTTGTACGAATTAAAAATATATAATTTTAGAAATTGTCGTAATAAATATTTTTATGTTAAAAAATAATTTTTTGGCGAATTAATTAATTAATTATTGTTTTTGTTTTTTTTGCAGGTGGTTCTCACATCGATGCACAAATATATACCGAAAATTTGGATTATTCGCTGTGACGATCATCATAGAGATGAGAATTTAAATTCTCAACCTTGCAAGGCGTTCAGTTTTCCAGAGACGGAATTTATTGCCGTGACTGCCTACCAAGTATGTAATCACAAACTAATTAACTAATTAATTATTATTACCTACCTATATTATTTTTAAAAATTTTAATAAAATACATCGAAGGAATTCAATTATTTTTATAAATAATAATATGGGTAGAAGAAATTCAATTTATTATTTAAAAAAAAAATTTTTTTAAATTAAAATTCATCGAAACAATTCAATTATTTTCAATGAAATTTTAATTTAATTTCTCAAAATATTTCAAATTATTTTTCATAAATAATAAAATTCTTCGCAGAACTATTGAATTATCTTTATAATAAATAATAAAACTCTTAGCAAGAATTCAATTATTTTTAAAAATTCCAATAAAAATCAATTATTTTCAAAAATGTCAATAAAAGTCAATTATTTTCATAATTTTTGAAATTCTTCACCGAAATTCAATTATTTTCAAAAATGTCAATAAAATTCAATTATTGTCAATTCAATTTTAATTGAATTTCTCGAAATATTTCAATTATTTTCATAAATAATAAAACATTATTCACAGGAATTCAATTATTTTAATAAATAAGAAAATTCTTCCTAAGAATTCAATTATTTTCAAAAAAAATTCAATTACTTTCCTGAGTAATAGAATTCTTATTCAGATTTTAATTATTTTTAAAAATTCTAATAAAATGCTTCCAAAAAAAAAATTCAATTATTTTCAAAAATGTCGATAAAATTCAATTTTAATTGAATTTCTCGAAATATTTTAATTATTATCATAAATAATAAAACATTCGCAGGAATTCAATTATTTTCAAAAATTTTAATAAAATTGAATATTAAATGAATTTTTTGAAATATTTCAATTATTTTCTTAAATAATAAAACATTATTCGTAGAAATTCAATTGTTTTGTATAAGTAATACAACTTTTTCTAAGAATTCAATTATTTTCAAAAATTCTTATAAAATTCTGCAAAAAAATTCAATTACTTTCATAAGTAATAAGATTCTTATCCTGATTTTTAAAAATTCTAATAAAATGCTTCCAAAAACAAAATTCAATTATTTTCAAAAATGTTGATAAAATTCAATTTTTATTGAATTTTTTTGAAATATTTCAATTATATAGTTTTAAAATTTTGATAAACTTAAATTATTGTCAATTCAATTTTAATTGAATTTCTTAAAATATGTCAATTATTTTCATAAATAATGAAACATTATTCGTAGGAATTTAATTATTTTCAAAAAATCTAATAAAAATTCTTCAAAAAAAATTCAATTATTTTCATAAATTAAAAAAATTATCCAATAATTAGAAAATTATTTACAAAATGCAACTTTAATAAAATTTCTCAAAAGAATTCAATTATTTTAAAAAAATCTTAATAACATTTTTCAAATGCTTTAAAATTTTTATGTACAATTTTAATAAAATTTCTCGAAAAGATTCAAAAATTATTTTTCGAAACAATAAAATTCTTGTCATAATTTCAATTCGAAAAATTCCAATTAAAATTCGTCGAAAAAAAAATACATTACTTTTAGCAAAAAAAAAAAACCATTAATTTGTTTACTAAAAAATTCATTTTTTCTATTAAAAAACAAATTTTTTACTAAAAAAAAATTTATTTTTCAAAAAATAATTTTATTTATAAAAAAATATATTTTTTTTTTGTAGTAAAAAAACCATTAATTTTTTTTACTGAATTATTAATTTTTAAAAATTAAAAAACAATTTTTTTTTTACTAAAAAGCAAATTTATTAATTAAAAAATAAGTTTCTTTACAAAAAAATATATTTTTCAGTACAAAACAAATTTCTTTACTAAAAAATAAAAACTTTTTTTTAATGAACGAGTTTTTAAACAAAAAAAAATCAATTTTTCTATTAAAAAATAATTCTTTTTACTAAACAATATATTTTTTTTATTAGAAAACAAATTTCTAAATTTAAATGAAATCAAAATAAATAGATAATTGAATAAATTAAATTAAATTAAATAAATTTATAATTGAAAAAATCGAAATAAAGAATTTTTTTTCAAAAAAAGAATTAAAAAATTATAATTGACTATAGAGTTAATTAATTTAAATTTACATAATTATTTGAATTTTCCAAGATTTTTTCACGAAACAATTGTCAATATTCATTTTTTCGTATAGTTTTAAATTTATTTTTCAATTAAATTTAATTAATATTCATTATTTTGATTTATTTGAATGATATTAATTTAATTAATATTAATTTATTTATACTCGGGATTTAATATTAATTAAATGAGTGAAAAATATTTTACAGAATGATGCGAATTAATTTATCAAAGTTTACAGCTAAACAAACGCTTTAAAATCGAGATAGAATAGAATACATAAAACTAATTAATATTAATAATTAATAATTAATAATTAATAATAATAATTCTAATTCTAATTCTAATTCTAATTAGAATTAAATTTAATTTTAATTCTAATTCTAATTAGAATTTAATTTAATTCTAATTAAATATTATTATAATAATATTTAATACTAATAATTGTCTATTTTCTTTTTACAGAATGAAAACATCACTCGACTAAAAATCAACAACAATCCATTTGCAAAGGGTTTCCGAGAAACGGGACAGTCGCGTTGCAAGCGAAAATTACAAACGTCCGAGGATCAGTCGTCACTCGATTCACATGACGAGGAGGGCAATGTCTCGTCATCTGACTGTGAAGCCGGACAATTGGAAGATTCGCCGGAATGTTCGGCAAATAAGCGAACAAGAAGATCGCCGAGCGACACTGAAAGTGTTATCTACGACAGTGGCATCAGTAGTTCGGGTGGTGCGACACCACCTCCGTCATCGTCATCATCATCACAATTGTTGTCGTCCGAGACACTTTCCGAGGTGAATTTTCGTGTCTCGTCATCGTCATCGTCAGCGTCTTCTTCAGTGTCGTTATCGCCGGCGCCCACGGAACACGCCGGTAATCAGACGCGGCTTTATCGACCGTGGGCCGATTCTCCATCGTCGCCATCGTCGCCTTGCCGATCGCAGGAACAAGTTTTACCCGTCGTCACAACACCCATGCAGTATCATTCCCTCTTTTTCCCGCTGCTCGCGCCTGAACAACAACTCGCCGCTCTTGAATATTCCAGGCTACAACAGATACAACGCTTTCAGTCCAATCTCTTTCTCAGTAAATTGTATCATTAATTCTCTTTTTTCTCGCAAAATACTCGAAAAATACTCGAAAAATAATCAAAAAATACTCAAAAAATACTCAAAAAAAAAAACACAAAAGAAAAAAACAAAACAAAAAAAAGATTTTTTTGAAAGAAAATTTTTGTAGTAAACGAAAAAATTTTCTTCTAAAAGGAATTTTATTTTCGTTTTATTTTTTGGAAAATACTCAAAAAATATTCAAAAAATACACAAAAGAAAAAAACAACACAAAAAAAAGATTTTTTTGAAACAAAATTTCTTTAGTAAAAGAAAACATTTTATTTCTAAAAAGAAGGAAATTTTGTTGACAAAAAAGAAGCAGATTTTGTTACAAAAAAACTACAATTTTGCTACAAAAAGCAAAATTATTATAAATTATAACAAAATTTTCGAAAAAAATAAAAATTTGTTTCTTTCTTCAAAGACAAAAAAAAGATTTTTTCGAAAAAATGAATAAACAGAAAAAATGAGTTTTTTCGAAAGAAAATTTCTTTAGCAAAAACAAAAAAGTTTCTTCCAAAAAGAATGAAATTTTTTTGACAAAAAAGAAACAGATTTCACTCCAAGAAGCTAAAAATTCTGATATTCAAAAAGCTTTTGCTTTTTGTATAGCAAAATTTCCAAAAATGATAAAAATTTGTTTCTTTCTTCAAAGGCAAAAAAAAAAAGATTTTTTTCGAAAAGATGAAATTTTTTCGAAAGAAAATTTCTCTTTAGAAAAAACAAAAATTTTCTTCTAAAAGAAAGGAAATTTTTTTGACAAAAAAAAGAAACAGATTTTACTAAAAACAACTAAAATTCTGATATTCAAAATTTAAAAGCTTTAGCTTTCTGTGTGGCAAAATTTTCAAAAATGATAAAAAATTTGTTTCTTTCTTCAAAGACAAAAAAAAAAAGGTTCTTTTCAAAAAGATGAATAAACAGAAAAAATATTTTACCAAGTGAAAAAATATTTTTTTGTTATAAAAAAGAAACAAATTTTGCTGCAAAAAACAAGAAAATAAAAGAAAATTTATTTTTTTTATTTTTCTTTTAAAGAATTTTTTTTCCAAAAAACAGGCCTCGGATAGTATGATTTTTTTTTTTAATTCTTCCAAATAGTTTTGAAAATAGGGAATGTTTTCGATTTGTATTTTAAAAAAAAGGACTTTCTCGATTTTTCTTTTAAAATTTCAATTTTTTTTATCAAAATTTCAATTATTTTGAAAAAAATTTACAAAGTTTCAATTATTTTCCAATTTTTACTAAATTTCAAATAGTTTACAGTAATTTTAGTAAATTTCAATTATTTTACCCATTTTTTAGTAGAATTCAATTATTTTCTACGTTTTTAATCGTAATTTCAATTATTTTCTAGAAATTCTACTAAATTACAATTATTTTTTATTTTTTTAATCTAAATTTCAAATATTTCAAAATAATTTTAGTAAATTTCAATTATTTTAATAATTTATTTAATAAATTGAAATTATTTTCCATTTTTTTTCTAAATTTCAAGTAGTTTAAAATAATTTTAGTAAATTTCAATTATTTTAATAATTTATTTAATAAATTGAAATTATTTTCCATTTTTTTTCTAAATTTCAAGTAGTTTAAAATAATTTTAGTAAATTTCAATTATTTTTCACTTTTTTAACTACATTTTAAAAATTTTAAATAATTTTAGTAAATTTCAATTACTTTAATAAATTGAAATTATTGTTTTCCATTTTTAACTAAATTTCAAATATTTTTAAATAATTTTACTATATGTCAATATTTCACTTTTTTAACTAAATTTCAATTGTTTTCAATGTTTTTGATCAAAATTTTAATAATTATCTAAAAATTTTACTAATTTTCAATTATTTTTTTATTTTTTTAAAATTAAATTTCAAATATTTGTAATTTTAATCAATTTTAATTATTTTAACAATTTTTTAGTAAAATTCAATTATTTTCTGTTTTTGACCGAATATTCAATTGTTTTCTAAGAATTTTACTAAATTTCAATTATTTTAATAAATTTTTTAATAAAGTGAAATTATTTTCAAAAAAATTTTATTCAATTAAATTTCAATTATTTTCTTTAAATTTTACAAAATTGCAATTATTTTCCAGTTTTTTTAAACTAAATTTGTAATTATTTTAACACATTTTTTAATAAATTTAATTTAATTTTAAAATAATAATTTTAATCAATTTGAATAATTTTTCATATTTTTTCCAAAATTTCAATTATTTTCTAAAAATTTTACTAAAATTAATGTAGTTTCAATTTTTATTATTAAATTTTTAAATTAATTTTTTATGATTGTTAAGAATTTTTACTAAATTTTGATCAAGTGGAATTTTTTCAATTCTATGCAATTGAAAAATTATAAAAATTATTTAAATTAAACTTTTTTTTCTAATTGTAGTTACAATTATTGTAAAAAATTGAATTTTTATTTTAAATAATTGAATGAGTTATTAAAATTAAAATAATTGAATTTTTGTTTTAAATAATTGAATGAGTTATTAAAATTGAAATAATTGAATTTTTGTTTGAAATAATTGAATGCGTTTTTAAAATTGAAATAATTGAATTTTTATAGAATTTTCGTGAAAATTTATTAAAATTTAGAAAAAAGTTAAAAATTGTAGAAAACAATTCAATTTTGGTAGTGTTACAGTTGCAATTCTTAGAAATAATTGAATTCTTAAAGAATTGTCAAAAAATTATTATAATTGACATAGTTCTCCAAATCAATTCTCATTCAATTATTTTCAACGATTTTTAACTTAACTTCTATTATGTTAAAAATTGTAGAAAATAATTGAATTTTGATAGAGTTACAACTTGTAATTTTTAGAAATAATTGAATTTTAATAAGATGTGAAATTGAAATTTTAAAAATTTTCGATTCCTCAGAAAAAATTTATCGAAAAACATTTATTTTATTATCTTTAATTTTTTTAGCAACTGAAAGTCGATCCGAGGCTTGCAAAAAGAAGAAAAAATTTTTTTTAAAAAACAAAAAGATTTTTCTTTCAAAAGAAAAAGACAATAATAAAATAAACATTTTCTTTTCGAAAAGAAATTTTTGTTTTGTTAAAAAAAAGAAAAAAGTAGAATAGAATCAAGCTTTGATTATAAAAAAAAACGAAAAAGCGAATTATAAATCTCGACTAATACGAGATTTTGTATGGAGAGAAAAAAAGAAATTTCCGAATTAAAATTGATCTCTAGATTTCAATAATTATATAATGTAAATAGAAAAATAGTTCTTTAATGATGGCCAAAGAATTTTATTTTGCATCAGGGAATATATATATTTATATTGTTGAATCTGGATTCTTCGTGTGATAACAAATATTTTGCTCAACATTTTTTTTTTTTTGTTTTTTTATTTAAAATCAAAAAAATCATTGTCAAAGTTACTCATTCATTTATTTATTTTTATTTTTTTTCAAAAATACAAAAAAAAAATCTTATTTTAACACCAGTGATGTGTTTTATTTAATAAAAAAAAATTTCCATTTATATTGATATTATAATTTTAATTTTTAAATCATTAAAATTGTAAAGGAAAAAAAACCAGATTCAGTTTTAAAATAAGAAATGTGCCTTTTTATATATACATTATTGTAATGTTGTAAATATTAAGAAAAAAGAATTATTTGTTTAACTAAATTAAGAGAGCAAATTGTAAATACAGATAAAGAATAATTATTATGTATTAGGAAATAAATCGTTATTTATCTAAGTTCATGTCGAAATAATGCCTTGAAACTATTTTTTTAAGTAAAATTAATAAAAATATTTTGTATTATTTTTTCGTTTCTCTTTATTAATTACTATTTCACTGTTTTTTATTTAACATTTTTTTTAAGTTTAAATCATAAATAAAAAAATAATTATTAAAAATTTTTTTTTTTAATTGAAATCGTAAATAAAAAAATGTAATTTTTTAAAATTTTACTGTTTTATTTTAAAAATTTTTTTTATAAATTGAAATCATAAATCAAAAAATAATTTTTAAACATAAAAATAGTAACTGAGGTAAAAATAAAAAGGAAGAGAATAAAAATATTGAATAAAATTAAAAAGAATTGAAAAATAGTAGAAAAAAATTGAAATAAACAAAAAATATAAAATAGTTCAAAAGTAAGAAAAAATTTTAAAAATAGTAGCGAATTAAATCTAAATCTGAAAAAGAAAAAAAGAAAAATGTAAAAAATACAAACAAAAAAAAAAATAGAAAAATAATTAAGAAAACTAAAAAAATACAATTGGAATACAAAAAGTGATTTACAAATAATACAAAAGTCGTACAATAAAATAAAAAAACAAATTAATACAAAAGTCGTACAAGAAAATTAAAAAACCAAACAATGCAAAAATCATACAAAAATAAAAAAACAAATTCAGGCAAAAACCATACAAAAATAAAAAACAAGGACAAATGCAAAAACTATACAAAAATAAAAAAACAAAATTAATGCAAAAATCATAAACATAAAAAAAAATAAATACAAAAATCATACAAATATAAAAAAAGAATTAATGCAAAAATCATAAACATAAAAAAAAACAAATACAAAAATCATACAAATATAAAAAAAGAATTAATGCAAAAATCATAAACATAAAAAAAATAAATACAAAAATCATACAAATATAAAAAAAGAATTAATGCAAAAATCATAAACATAAAAAAAATAAATACAAAAATCATACAAATATAAAAAAAGAATTAATGCAAAAATCATACAAAAATAAAAACAAATTAATGCAAAAATCATATACAAAAATAAAAAACAAATTAATGCAAAAATCGTACAAAAATAATAAAACAAAAAATACAAAATTAATAAAAAAATATTAAAATAAATCAAAAAAAACATTAATAAAATAGTAAAAAAATTCGAAGATTAAAATATTAAAAATAATGCGAAAATAATGTGAAAATTAAATAAAAAGAAAATAAATGAAAATGATAAAACAAAGGAAATTTTAAAAAAAGAAAAATAAATAATAAAAAATAATATAAAAATACTTTATATAGTAAAAAGTTAAAAGTGAAAAAAATACTAAAAAATAATAATAATTAATAAAGAGTAAAAAAAAGTAAAATTAAAGTAAAACTGTGAAGAGAAGTTGGCACGATAATTTTAAAAATTACAGCATTCTCTCAAACACACTACATTAGCAATTAGCATTCAATATTTGTACGCCGCAATTACTTAATTGTAATTCAAAACAATTGTCTCTCTCTCTCTCTCTCTCTCTCTCTCTCTCTCTCTCTCTTTCTTTCTCTCCCCGTAATCGTTCGCTTAATATTATACGTGTTATCCGCTGACTTAAAATTCCGGAACACGTAACGGTATCGAACCGTTATTGGTTACTGTTTATTCCCCAAACAAGATTTTTTTTATTCTTATTCCAAAATGCGCGTATCGAATTTTAATTTCATTACCGTCCTTGTCAACGAAGCAATTCATTGAAAGCGAGTCACATTTTTGCAATATACTCGAGTATACCTACTATACTCATTTATTATATTCATTTTTGCTTCAACACGTGTTTCACTAAAAAAAACAAAAAAAAAACAACAAAAAAATGATAACGAAGATAAATGAAAAGAAAAAAATCTTGTTTATCTCGAGAAGTAACAATTCAAGTCAGTTTCGTCAGGAATTTTTTTCTAAAAGAAAAAATAAGAAAAATTAGTTTTCTAATTGTCTCAAAAGTATATGTTCAAAAAGAAAAAGTAAAAATAGTCGGAAAAAAGTAAGAAAATCAAAAATAAAAGAAGATTTCTAATTTTCTGAAAAGTGTTCAAAAAGAAAAAGTAAAAATAGTGGAAAAAAGTAAGAAAAGCAAAAAAGAGGGAGAAAAGATTTAAAAAATGAAAGAAAGGACAAAAAAAGTAAAAAGAGACTAAAATAGTAAAAAATGGAAGAATAGAGAAAAAAGAGACAAAAGAAAGTAAAAATAAGACGAAAGAAGGAGAAAGTGACTCAAAATAGTAAAAAAAAGAAAAAATACAAAAATAGTAAAAAAAGAAAAAATACAAAAATAGTAAAAAAAAAGAAAACATACAAAAATAGTAAAAAAAGAAAACACACAAAAATAGTAAAAAAAGAAAACACAAAAAAAAGAAAAAATACAAAAATAGTAAAAAAAGAAAACATACAAAAATAATAAAAAAAGAAAAAAATGTAAAAAAAAATCAAAAACAGTAAAAAAAATATTGAAAAGTAAAAAGCAGTGAAAAAGATAAATTACAGTAGAAAAAAGACCAAAAGCACTAATAAATAGTCCAAAAATTCAAAAAAAAAAAAAAATAGAAAAAGTATGAAAAATTCAAAAATAGTAAAAAAAAATATTAAAAAAGTCAAAAACAGTCAAAAAGAAAATAATAAAAATTAAGAAGAAGTGGAAAATGACAAATTATAATAAAAAAGGCCAAAAATACTAAAGAACAGTCAACAAAATCAAAAAGAAAGTAAAAAATAGTAAAAAAAGGAAAAAAATACAAAAATAGTAAAATACGCAAAAATAGTAAAAAATACCCAAAAAAAAGTCAAAAACAGCAAAAAAAAAATGTTGGACATAAAATTCTTTAAATAAGAATTCATTTAATTTAAAATACAATTTTTTATGAAATTGTAAGAACAAATTCAATTATTTTTCAAAAATTTCAATAAAATTTGTTTATAACAATTAAATTAACATTTAACAGAATTTTAAATTAAATATCTCCGCGTAGAATTGATTTACTTCTGAAAAACTTTTTAAATATTTTCTTATAAGAATTCAAATATTTTTAATACAAATGAATTTTTTCGACAAATTTCAAAATAATTGAATTTTGCAAAATTTCAATTATAAATTTTAAAAATAATTGAATTTTTGAAGAATCTTAATTAAAAATTTTTAAGAGTAATTGAATTTTGAATAATTTTAATTTAAAATTTTGAAAATAATTAAATTTTGAAGAATTTTAATTTAAAATTTTGAAAATACTGGAATATTGAAGAATTGAAATCTTAAATTTTGAAGAATTTTAATTTATAATTTTAAAAATAATTGAATTTTGATGAATTTTAATTTTGAAAAGAATTGAAATTTTATGAATTTTAATGAAAATTTTGAAAATAATTATAAATCCATTTCAAATTGTTTTAATTATAAGTTTTCAACAGAATTGAATTTTTAAAGGGTTTAAATTGTAAATTTCAAAAATAATTGAATTTGAAGAATTTTACTTCTAGATTTTGAAAATAATTTAATTTTGAAAAATTTTAATGAAAAGTTTTGTAATAATTCAATTTTCAAGAATTTTAATTGAAAATTTTAAAATTAATTCAATTTTGAAGAATTTTAATTGAAAATTTTAAATTTAATTCAATTTTTAAGAATTTTAATTGAAAATTTTAAAATTAATTCAATTTTGAACTGTTTTAATAACGAAAAGTGAAAAGCAGTGGAAAAGACAAATTACAGTTGAAAAAAAGACTACAATTAGTAATTAACAGCCAAAAATTAAAAAAAAATTAAAAAGTCAAAAATTAGTAAAAAAAAACCATAGAGAAATTCAAAATTGTAAAAAAGAAGCTAAAAAATAATAAAAAAGACCGAAAAATGTAAAAAAAAGTAAAGTTAAAACTGTAAAAGTAGATTTAAAAGAGTCAGAAAATAGTCAAAAATCTATAGTCAAAGTAAAAATAGTCAAAAGAAGCAAAAAACAAAACAAAAAGTTTTTTTTAACTTTCGAGAAAAGTAAAAAAAAAGTTAAAACAATAAAAAATAGTTTAAAAAATTCAAAAAGTAGTCAAAATTTATTGTCAAAATTAAAATAGTCAAAAGAAGCACAAAATAAAGAACAAAATGTTAAAAAAAACGCCCAAGAAAAGTAGAAAAAAGTTAAAATAGTAAAAAATAGTTTTAAAAAGTCAAGAAGTAGTCAAAATCTATAGTCAAAATCAAAATAGTCAAAAGAAGCAAAAAAACAAACAAAAAGTTAAAAAAAACGTCCAAAAGAAGTAAAAAAAAATGTTCAAACAGTAAAAAATAGTTTGAAGAAGTCAAAAAATAGTCAAAATTTATAGTCAAAGTCAAAATTAGTCAAAAGAAGCAAAAAAGAAAACAAAAAGCTTTTTTTAACTTTCGATAAAAGTATAAATAAAGTTAAAACAATAAAAAATAGTTTAAAAAATTCAAAAAGTAGTCAAAATCTATAGTCAAAGTCAAAATAGTCAAAAGAAGCGAAAAAAACAAAAAAGTTAAAAATCATCCGATAAAAGTATAAATAAAGTTAAAACAATAAAAAATAGTTTTAAAAAGTCAAAAAGTAGTCAAAATCTATAGTCAAAATCAAAATAGTCAAAAGAAGCAAAAAAAACAAACAAACAGTTAAAAAAACGTCCAAGAAAAGTAAAAAAAAGTTAAAACAGTAAAAAATTGTTTGAAAAAGTCAAAAAGTAGTCAAAATTTATAGTCAAAGTCAAAATTAGTCAAAAGAAGCAAAAAAGAAAACAAAAAGCTTTTTTTAACTTTCGATAAAAGTATAAATAAAGTTAAAACAATAAAAAATAGTTTAAAAAATTCAAAAAGTAGTCAAAATTTATAGTCAAAGTCAAAATAGTCAAAAGAAGCGAAAAAGAAAACAAAAAGTTCTTTTTAACTTCCAAGAAAAGTAAAAAAAAGTTAAAACAGTAAAAAATAGTTTGAAGAAGTCAAAAAGTAGTCAAAATTTATAGTCAAAGTCAAAATTAGTCAAAAGAAGCAAAAAGAAAAACAAAAAGTTAAAAAAACAAGAAAAGTGAAAAAAAAGTTAAAACAGTAAAAAATAGTTTTAAAGAAATTCGAAAATTAGTCAAAATCTGTAGTCAAAGTCAAAATAGTCAAAAGAGGGAAAGAGAAATTAATAACAGTCGAAGATCTAAAACAAATTTTCCAAAACCAAAAAAAAAATAAAAAATAAAAACAAAGAAAAAAAGAAAATTGTCACAAAAAACATCCTCGTCCGTTTGTATTAAAATAAATACAAAGGAAAAAAAAAGATAAAAAAAAATGCTTACAGATTAGACGCAACATTTTTGGTCACCGTGGCCATTGGCGTATTTCGGGCAATAGGGCGGATTAGAGCTCTGGAGACAGAAGGAGCCCTTGGAGCCGGTGGGCGTGTGCTGACCCATGATTAGATACTCGCCGGCTCTCTGGCTAATCCTCGGCCCCGAGGGACAGCGCCGCGAGCACGGCTCGGCCAGCATTTCCCTGCCGCCATTATCGACGCTCTGCGCCATGAAGCACACAACCCACACGTGGCTGCACAATTGGAAATTCGTCTGGTTCTCACAGAATGGCTGCACTTTCCCGCCGTTCACGCAGAAGTCCACGTGGCCCATTCTTCCCTTGTCACCTAAGAAGAAAAAAGGAAAAATGTCATTATTTTTTTTTTGAGACACTAGCCGCGTGGATTTTTGCTTGTGTTGTTGAGAATTTAGTTCGGGTTCGATTCTTCTCTAGTGTTTGAATTTTTTTTTTAATCAATGTTGATTTTATTTCATTTTCTTCTTGTTTTTTATTTTCGTTTCCGTATTTTTGTTTCTTTTTGCCTTTTTAATTGCATTTTTGTCTTTTTGTTTCTTTATATTTAAATTTCTGTATTATTTTTTACTCTTTTAAAAAAATTTCAATTATTTTCAATTTTTTACTAAATTTCAATTATTTAAAACAAATATTAGTAAATTTCAATTACAATCAAATTTTTCTACCAAATTTCAAACATTTTTCTTTCTTTTAAATAAATTTCAATTATTTTAAATAGTTATTTAAAATAAATTTTGATTATTTAAAATTTTTTAAAACTAAATTTCAACAATTTAAAACAAATTTTGGTAAATTACAATTAGAATCAAATTTTACTACCAAAATTTTCATTATTTTCAATTCTTATATAAATTTCAATTTTTTTCAATTTTTTAACAATAAATTTCCATTATTTTCAATTCTTATTTACTAAATTTCAAATTTTTTTAAATTTCTTTTTACTGAATTTCAATTAAAGAAAACAAATTTTTGTAATTTTAATTTACAATCCAATGTTTCTACTAATTTCTATTTATCTTTAAACTTTTCCTAGCAAATTTCAATTATTTTAAATATTATTTAATAAATTTCAATTATTTTGAAATTGTCTTCACTAAATTTCAATTATATATAAAACAAATTTTTTTTATAACAAGCAATTACTATAAATTTTTTCTAATAATTTTCTACTTATCTCAAAATTTTGTTCTACTAAATTTCAATTATTACAAATTTCTTTCTACTAAATTTTAATTATTTTCAATTCTATATTAATTTTCAATTATTAAAAACAAATTTCAGTAAATTTCAATAGCATTCAATCAATTTTTTCTACTAAATTTCAGTTATTATTCTTTCTATTACAAAAATTTCAATTCTTTTCAATTTCCTTTTAACAAATTTCCATTATTTTCAATTCCTATTTACTAAATTTCATTTACTTTTAATTTCTTTTCACTAAATTTCAATTATTTTAATAATAATTGACTAAATTTTCATTTTTTTAATAACACTCAACTAAATTTCAATTATTTTAGAAAACTTTTACTAATTTCCAATTACTTATATTTTAAAATTTTTCTTTACTATAAATTTCAATCATTTTTCATTTCTTTTATTTTTCAATTTTTTTCAGTTTTCTTTATACTTTTACTAAATTTCAATAATTTTTCATTTATTTTATAAAATTTCAATTATTTTTCATTTTTGTCTACTAAAATTCAATCATTTTTCACAATTGTTTTAATAAATTTCAATTATTTTTATTTTTTCTACTAAATTTCAATTATTTAATACTTTTCTTAATAAATTCAAATTATTTTAAAAAATTTATTCCAAATTTCAATTATATTTCATTTTTTAAAAGATTGAAATTATTTTTCACTTTTTTTTTACTAAATTCCAATTATTTTCAAAAAATTATAATAAATTTTGCAAAATTTCAAAAGAGTTTTAATTCAAAATTTATTCAAAATTTCAATTATAAATTTTGAGAATAATTGAATTTAGAAGAATTTCAATTGGAAATTTAGAAAATAATTGAACTTTGACGAATTCTACTTTTAGATTGTGAAAATAATTGAATTTTAAAGATTTGTAATTAAAAGTATTAAAATTAATATAATTCTTAAGAATTTTAATTTAGAATGTTGAAGAACTTTAATTTTAAATTTTAAACATAATTGATATTTGAAGATTTTTAATTGAAAAATTTGGAAATAATTCAATTCTGAAGAATTTTACTTCTAGATTTTTAAAATAATTAAGTTTTGAAAATTTTTATTTGAAAATATTGAAATTAATTGAATTCTTAAGAATGTTAACTTAAAATTTTGAAAAAAATTGAATTTTGAAGAATTTTATTTCTAAATTTAGAAAATAATTGAATTTTGAAGATTTATAATTGAAAATATTAATATTAATTGAATTTTTAAGAATTTTAAGTTAGAGTTTTGATAATAGTTGAATTTTGAAGAATTTCAATTGAAAATTTTGAAAATTTTTAATTGAAAATATTAAAATTAATTGAATTTTGAATAATTTTATTTCTAGATTTTAAAAATAATTGAATTTTGAAGATTTTTAATTGAAAAATTTGGAAATAATTCAATTCTGAAGAATTTTTCTTCTAGATTTTTAAAATAATTACATTTTGGAAATTTTTATTTGAAAATATTGAAATTATTTGAATTCTTAAGAATTTTAACTTAAAATTTAGAAAATAATTGAATTTTGAAAAATAATTGAAAATATTGATATTAATTGAATTCATAAGAATTTTAATTTAGAATTTTGATAATAATTGAATTTTGAAGAATTTTAATTTTAAATTTAAAAAAAAATTGAATTTTGAAGAATTTTAATTTAGAATTTTGAAAAGAATTGAATTATGGAAAAATTATTCTTCTAATTTTTGAAAATAATAGAATTTGAAGAATTTTAATTGAAAATTTTTAAATTAATTGAATTCTTAAGAATTTTAATTTATAATTTTGAAGAGTTTTACTTCGAGATTTTGAAAATAATGGAATTTTGGAGAATAATAATAAATAAAGTAATTAAAATAAAAAAATAAAAAAATAAATATAGAACCAAAAGGAATATTCAATAACTAAAAATTGAATTAATAATAAATAATAATTTGAGATAGATAATAATTAATAAATAAATAATTATTCAATTATCGAAGAGATTATTGGAGTCGTTGGAGTCTCACCGTAATATCCAGCATTAGTGTGAATAACTTGAACAAAATCGGCATCGCCACTGTCGAGGCGATTGGTGAGACTGGATCTAATGAGAGGACGCGCGGGATCAAGGCCAATAATGCGATTCATTCGAAAGAGTAAATAATTAGCCATTATTCCGCAGAGATGTGCTCCCAGCGAGTGACCAACGCACGTCGTCCTCGATATTGGCAGGCCAAGATTCCTCAAGGTCGTGAGACTTCCGGCCAGGCAACGCGCCACGGGCCGCAGGTTCGCCACCGCCGCCGGGTAACACGGTGGCGCACAAAGTGACCCCCAGTCGATGGAAAACACATTATAACTTCCATTACGCAGGTAGGCCTCCCTCAATATCATCATCGGCACCGAGTCCTCCGTCCCTTCAACAAAAATTCACTCAATTAATAATTGGCCAATTAAATTACGAAATTAAACTTAACTAACAAAATTTCAATCATTTCTTAATTATTTTGTAAAATTTTAAATTTCAATTATTTTTCTTTTTTTTTTTTTTTTTTTAACTAAATTTCAATTATTTTCCTAAATTTCAATTATTTTTCATTTCTTTTATTACATATAAATTATATTTCATTTTTCGTACTAAATTTCAATTATTTTTCATTCTTTCATTAAATTTCAATTATTTTTCATTTTTTTTTTTTTTTACTAAATTTCAATTATTTTCCTAAATTTTAATTATTTTTCATTTCTTTTATTAAATATAAATTATATTTCATTTTTCGTACTAAATTTCAATTATTTTTCATTCTTTCATTAAATTTCAATTATTTTTCATTTTTTTTTTTTTACTAAATTTCAATTATTTTCCTAAATTTTAATTATTTTTCATTTCTTTTATTAAATATAAATTATATTTCATTTTTCGTACTAAATTTCAATTATTTTTCATTCTTTCATTAAATTTCAATTATTTTTCATTTTTTTTTTTTACTAAATTTCAATTATTTTCCTAAATTTTAATTATTTTTCATTTCTTTTATTAAATATAAATTATATTTCATTTTTCGTACTAAATTTCAATTATTTTTCATTCTTTCATTAAATTTCAATTATTTTTCATTTTTTTTTTTTTACTAAATTTCAATTATTTTCCTAAATTTTAATTATTTTTCATTTCTTTTTTTAAATATAAATTATATTTCATTTTTCGTACTAAATTTCAATTATTTTTCATTCTTTCATTAAATTTCAATTATTTTTCATTTTTTTTTTTTTACTAAATTTCAATTATTTTCCTAAATTTTAATTATTTTTCATTTCTTTTATTAAATATAAATTATATTTCATTTTTCGTACTAAATTTCAATTATTTCTCAATTCTTTTATTAAATTTTAATTATATTTCATTTTTTACTAAATTTCAATTATTTTTCAATTCTCTTTACTATACATTCCAATTAATAACAAAAATTTTAAGTAATTTTTTAAGTAATTTGTTAAATTTCAATTATTTTTCTATCTTCAACAAAAACTATTCAATTATTTTCAATTTCTTTTAAATAAATTTCCATTATTTTCAATTTCTTTCAAATAAATTTCCATTATTTTCAATTTCTTTAACTAATTTTCAATTATTAACTTTTTTTTACCATATTTCAATGATTTAAAACAAATTTTAGTCAATTTTAATTACAATCAAATTTTTCTACTAAATTTCAATTATTTTTCTTTCTTTAAAATAAATTTTAATGTCTTTTAAATAAATCTCCATTATTTTCAATTTCTTTATCACTAAATTTTAATAATTTAAAATAAATTTTAATAAATTTCCATTGAAATCAAAATTTTTCTACTAAATTTCAATTATTTTTCATTCTTTAAAATAAATTTCAATGTCTTTTAAATAAATTTCCATTATTTTCAATTTCTTTTTCACTGAATTTTCAGATATTTTCCATTTTTGACTAAATTTCAATAATTTAAAACAAATTTTGGTTAATTTACATTAAAATCAAATTTTTCTAAATTTAAATTATTTTTAAATTTTTTCACTAAATTCCAATGAATTTTTAAAAAAATTATACTAAACTTCAATTATTTTTCATTTGTTTTAAAGAATTTAAATTATTTTTAATTATTTTACTATATTCCAATCATTTTTCAATTGATTTATTAAATTTTAATTATTTTCCATTCTTTTACTAAATTTCAATTACTTTACACTTTTTCTTATTAAATTCCAACTATATTCAGAAAAATTATAATAAATTTGAATTATATTTCATTTTTTACAAAATTGAAATTGTTTTTCACTTTTTTTTACTAATTACAATTATTTACAAAAAAATTATAATAAATTTTAAGAATAATTGAATTTCGACGAATTTTACTACTAGATTTGAAACATTAATTGAATTTTAAAGAGGTGTAATAAAAATTTAAAAAATTATTCACATTTAAAGAGTTTGAATTAAAAATGTTTAAAACAATTCAATATTAAATTGTTTCAACTGTAATAAGTTTACTAAATAATTGAATTTTCAAGAATTTTAATGAAAATTTTGAAAATAATTGAATTTAGACGAATTTTACTTCTAGATTTTGAAAATAATTGAATTTTTAAAAATTTTAATGAAACTTTTCAAAATAATTGAATTTTTGATAAATTTTACTTTCAAATTGTGAAAATAATTGAATTTTGAAGATTTTTTAATGAAATATTGTAATTTATTGAATTATGGAGATTTTAAATTAAAAATATTGAAAATAATTGAATTTTGAATAATTTTAATTAAAAATGTTCAAAATAATTGAATTTTGAAAAATTTTAATGAAAATAATTTAATTTTTAAGAATTTTAATAAAAGTTTTGAAAATAATTGAACTTTGAAGTTTTAATAACAAATTTTCAAAATAATTCAATTACAAATTGTTTCAATTATAAGTTTTTAAAATAATCGAATTTTTAAGAATTTTAATGAAAATTTTGAAAATAATTGAATTTAGACGAATTTTAATTCTAGATTTTGAAAATAATTGAATTTTTTAAAATTTTATTTCTAAATTGTGAAAATAATTAAATTTTGTAGATTTTTAATTGAAAATATTGAAATTTATTGAATTATGGAGAATTTTATTTCTAAGTTTTGAAAATAATTGGTTTTTGGAAATTTTTAATTAAACATATTGAAATTAATTTAATTAGGTATGGAGATTTTTAATAAAAAATATTGAAAATAATTGAATTTTGAATAATTTTTTATTAAAAATGTTCAAAATAATTGAATTTTGAAAAATTTTAATGAAAATTTTGAAAATAATTGAATTTTGATCAATTTTACTTCTAGATTGTAAAAATAATTGAATTTTGAAGATTTTTAATTGAAATATTGAAATTTATTGAATAATAGAGAATTTTACTTCAAAGTTTGGGAAATAATTGATTTTAGGAAATTTTTAACTGGAAATATTTAAATTAATTTAATTATAGAGATTTTTCATTAAAAATATTGAAAATGATTTAATTTTGAATAATTTTAATTAAAAGTGTTCAAAATATTTTAATTTTGAAAAATTTTAATGAAAAATGTGAAAATAATTGAATTTTGATCAATTTTACTTCTTGATTGTAAAAATAATCAAATTTTGAAGATTTTTAATTAAAATATTGAAATTTATTGAATTATAAAAAATTTTGCTTCGAAATAATTAAATTCTGAATAATTTTTTATTAAAAATTTTCAAAATAATTGAATTTTGAAAAATTTTAATAAAAATTTTGAGAATAATTGAATTTTGATGAATTTTGCTTCTAGATTGTAAAAATAATTGAATTTTGAAGATTTTTAATTGAAATATTGAAATTTATTGAATAATAGAGAATTTTACTTCAAAGTTTGGGAAATAATTGATTTTAGGAAATTTTTAATTGGAAATATTTAAATTAATTTAATTATAGAGATTTTTCATTAAAAATATTGAAAATGATTTAATTTTGAATAATTTTAATTAAAAGTGTTCAAAATTTTTTAATTTTAAAAAATTTTAAAGAAAATTTTGAAAATAATTGAATTTTGACGAATTTCACTTCTAGATTTTGAAAATAATTAAATTTTTAAAAAATATAATAAAAAGTTTGAAAAGAATTGAATTTTGACGAATTTTACTTTTAGATTTTGAAAATAATTGAATTTTTAAGAAATATAATGTAAATTTTGAAAATAATTGAATTCTTATGAAATTTAATTCAGAATTTGGAAAATAATTGAATTTTGACGAATTTTACTTTTAGATTTTGAAAATAATTGAATTTTTAAGAAATATAATGAAAATTTTGAAAATAATTGAATTCTTAAGAAATTTAATTCAGAATTTGGAAAATAATTGAATTTTGAAGAATTTTACTTCTAGATTTTGAAAATAATTTAATTTTGAATAGAATTGAATTTTGACGAATTTTACTTCTAGATTTTGAAAATAATTAAATTTTTAAAAAATATAATAAAAAGTTTGAAAAGAATTGAATTTTGACGAATTTTACTTTTAGATTTTGAAAATAATTGAATTTTGAAGAAATATAATGAAAATTTTGAAAATAATTGAATTCTTAAGAAATTTAATTCAGAATTTGGAAAATAATTGAATTTTGAAGAATTTTACTTCTAGATTTTGAAAATAATTGAATTTTGACGAATTTTACTTCTAGATTTTGAAAATAATTGAATTTTTAAGAAATATAATGAAAAGTTTGAAAATAATTTAATTTTGAAAAGAATTGAATTTTGACGAATTTTACTTTTAGATTTTGAAAATAATTGAATTTTTAAGAAATATAATGAAAATTTTGAAAATAATTGAATTTTGACGAATTTTACTTCTAGATTTTGAAAATAATTGAATTTTTAAGAAATATAATGAAAAGTTTGAAAATAATTTAATTTTGAAAATAATTGAATTTTTAAGAAATATAATGAAAAGTTTGAAAATAATTTAATTTTGGAAAGAATTATAATTGTACTTCTAGATTTTGAAAATAATTGAATTTTGAAGATTTTTAATTGAAAATATTGAAATTAATTGAATTTTGACGAATTTTACTTCTACTTTTAAAAAATAATTGATTTTAGAAGATTTGAAATTAAAAATATTGATATTAATTGAATTCTTAAGAATTTTAATTCAGAATTTCAAAAATAATTGAATTTTGAAAAAAAATTTTTGAATAATTTCAATTATAAATTTATTTTGAATTAAAAAAAATGAAAAAATGAGTAAATAATAATAAAAAAAAAGAATAAAAAAAAATGTTTTTGTTTTTGTTAACATTTACCAGCATAGCCGTGAATTAAAATAATATTTTCCTTGGCGGCATCGTAGCCGCCGCGAAGCCAATCTGATTTCCTTGACTCCTCGAGTTTCTCCTTTGGCTTGCCGATTTCCGAATAAAGATAGAGATGCACATCGGGATCGGGACACGAATCCTTGTCATTGCCCCTCCTCCAGGTGCACTTGTCCTCACTGTAATTTGCCGCGGCGCCACTTTGTATCGCTTCCTCAATGGGCCCCCTGGGGGGCCTGCAAAGCACCTCATTATCGCCGCATATCAACAAAATAAACACCAACAATATCAAGGGCGAATTATTCAACTTCTCCATTTCACTCTCTTCTTCTCCTCTTTTCTAAAAAAAAATCACACGTAATCACCATTTTTGTACTATTATTATCGTCATTATTTTTTTTTAAATAAAAAATTAACAATAATTATTTTTTTTAATAAAAAATTAACAATAATTATTTTTTTTAATAAAAAATTAACAATAATTATTTTTTTCAGACGTAGAATAGGAAAAATTTTTTAAAAATATTTTTCCTACTCTTCCCTTTGAAGAAAAAAAATATTATTACTATAAATAACATTTTTCCTATTCTTCTAAAGAAACAAAAATAATTATAATATTTTTCCTATTCTCCATTTGAAGGAAAAAAATTGTTACAATATTTTTCCTATTCTCCATTTGAAGGAAAAAAATTGTTACAATATTTTTCCTATTCTCCATTTAAAGAAAAAAATTGTTATAATATTTTCCTATTCTCTCTATGAAGGAAAAAAGTGTGAATAATATTATAAATTTTCCTATTCAAATAGTTTTTTTTTATTAAATGGAGAATAGGCAAAATAGTATTAAAATTATTGACATTTTTCCCCTTTAAACAGAGAATAGGAAAAATATTTTTAATATTGAAAAACAATAATTTTTTTCCTCCCAAGGAAGAATAGAAAAAATAATAATTCTTTTTTTCCCCTTCAAAGCGAGAATAGGAAAAAGATTATTACTAATATTTTTCCTACTCTTTTCTTTGAAGGAAAAAAATATTAATATTAATAACATTTTTTCTATTCTCACTTTTTCCTATTCTTCTAAGGAAAAAAAATTGTTTATAATAAAATTTTTCCTATTCTCCCTTTGAAGGCAAAAAATTATTATAATATTTTCCTATTCTCTGTTTAAAGGAAAAAAGTGTGAATAATATTAATAATAATTTTCCTATTCAAATAATTTTTTATTAAAGAGAGAATAGGGAAAATAGTATTAATATTATTTACACTTTTTTCCTTCAAACCGAGAATAGGAAAAATATTTTTCCTACTCTTGCTTTGAACGAGAAAAAAAGTTAATATTTTGCCTATTCTGTCTTTGAAAAAAAATTATATTGTCAAACGTAGAATAGAAAAAAGTATTAACACTTTTTCACTTTTAAACCGAGAATAGGAAAAATATTATTAACAATTTTATTTTTTTTCTACTCTTCCTTTGAAAAAAGAAATTATTAATAAATTTTTTTTTCAAAGAGAGAATAGGCAAAATATTAACACTTTTTCACTTTCAAAGGGAGAATAGGAAAAATATTTTATTAACAAAATTTTTCTACTCTTTGAAAAAAAAAATTAGTAATATTTTTCCTATTCTCGCATTGGAAGTGAAAAAGTGTTAACATTTTGCCTATTCTCTGTTTGAAAAAAAATAATTATTCCATCAAACGTAGAATAGGAAAAATATTATTTTTTTTCAAACGTGGAATAGAAAAAATATTATTAATTTTAATTTTTTTTTCGTGGAATAGGAAAAATATTAACTTTAATAATTTTTTTGTGGAATAGGAAAAATATTATTAATTTTAATTTTTTTTTCGTGGAATAGGAAAAATATTATTAACTTTAATAATTTTTTTCTGGAATAGGAAAAATATTATTAACTTGAATATTTTTTTCCGAAATAGGAAAAATATGTTTTCTATTAAAAATCCTTTTTTTCTTCAAACCTTGAATAGGAAAAATATAATCAATATTATTAATAATTATTTTTCTCTTTTCGCAAGAAACAAAAATAATATTTTAATTATTGTTAATAATTATTATTTTTCTTAAATTATAAATCACTTTGATAATTAAATTGAAAAATTGAAAACTGTATAAGAAATGCAAACGAACCATGAACCGTCGATTTTGAGACTGTTTTAAAAAGATTAATCGAATCAGCATTTGGTTGTCTCTCCCCCTTTTTTTTTCTTTCTTCTCATTTTTCCCCCGATGCCCTCTCACTCACAGGTTCCTCCACTTCTTTAAAACGCGAACCTTGATGTACTTTACCGTTTATCACTGACGCCAATTCCTTTTACTCAAATGGGTCAGAGGAATTCCCCCCCAATTCTCCCACCACCCCTTTTTTTTATTTGCCATCAAAACAAAAGGAACCGAAGAAAAATCACAAAAAATTAACTTTTTACATTAAAAAAAAAAAAAATTAATTTTCATTCTAAATAAATGAAAATTTTTTTTAAAAAAAGGCAAAATAAAATAATAAAAAAATAATTTGTTATTATTATTTATTTTTATTAATTAATTTTTTTTTTATTAACTAATTATTATTTTATTTTTTATTAATTAATTATTATTTCATTTTTGATTAATTAATCATTATTTCATTTATTGAAAATTATTAATTATAATTTCCAATTACAATTATAATATTATAATTAATTAAAATAATATACTTAAAATTATTTAATTATTACTAAACTATATTTAGCATTAAAAAACAATTAAAATTAATTTTAAAAATTTAATTCAAAAAAAAAAAAAATATTCTTAATAAAAATTTAAACAAATTAATTAAAAAAAAACTAGTAAAAAAATAAATGAAAATAAAAAAATAAACTAATAAAAATAAAAAAGAAATAATAAATTTTTAAAAAAATATTAAATTAATTAAAAATATTATTCCAAAAAAAAATATTCTAAATAAAAAATTTTATTTCGAATATTTTTTTGTTTTGCAAGTAAAAATTTATTTCGAATAGAAATAAAAATACGAAGAAAAGGAAAAATGAAAGAAAAATTGCAAAGAATAGAAAAAAAAGTAGAACAATAAATGACAGAGACTATTAATTATTATTAACAAATTTTTAAAGGAAATTGCAAACGGAACATAATTTTTTTTTTACCCAAGAGAAAAAAAAGTATTTGTTTCCGGACAATAAAAAACAGGAAAAATTGATTATTTCTTTTAATTTTTTATTATTAGGTAATTAAATTGAGGTGTTGATCCGCGGTGACAAAATATTGCAAAGTACGTGAAGAAATTTTTTTTTTTTTCAAATCAACATTTTTTTTTTGTTTGTATAAGAAAAGCATTCGCAGTGAGCAATGAGGCGAATATATATAATAAACCGTTAGAAACGATTTTTAATTCTACTCCCCTAATCGACTATTATTTGTCATTCAATAATTGTTCCCTCCTTCTTTTTGCGCATATGTAATTATCAATCTCATTATGTAACAAAAAAAAAAGAAAATTTTCATTTTTTTCTCAAAAACTATTTTTTTTAAATTTATTTATTAAGGGCATTTGAACCTTGATGACGTTTCAGTTTGTGCAAAGCATGTGTGACGTCATCAAGTTTCAAATGCCCTTAATAATTTTTCATTTTCTTTTTCATTTTTTTTTCTCAAAAACCATTTTTATTTCTTTTTCTATTTTTTTATTTATTTATTACGTAATTTCTTAAAAATAATTTTCATTATTTTTCTCAAAAACCATTTTTATTTTTTATTTAATTATTACGTAATTTCTTAAAAATAATTTTCATTTTTTTTCTCAAAAATACCATTTTTATTTTTTTTCTATTTTTATTTATTTATTTGTTATATGTAATTTCTTTAAAAAAAAAATGTTCATTTTTTTTATTTTTATTTATTTATTACGTAATTACTCAAAAAAAAAATTTCAAATTTTTTTGTCTCAAAAAAAAAAAATTTAGAAACTATTTTCAAAAAAGAAATAGAAAAAAAACTATTCTTATATAATAGATACGTTAAAAAAATAATAAATAAAGAAAACTTGAAAATAATTAAACGAAACAAAGAAAAATTTTTTGTTAAATAATTAAAAGAAAGTAAATTAAAAAATAATAATGAGGAAAATTAAAAATAAAAAACATTTTCTTTAATAAATAGTAGAAAACTAGTAAAAAATTAATAGAAAAGATAATAATAATAATAATAATAATAATATAAATAATAATAAAAAATAATAAAAGAAAAAGTAGCACGGTAGCTGCGTGGTAATATACAAATACATTTACGATTTCATAATAGGGTTCGAATCCCCTCGGAGGTGAAATTTTTTAATTCCCAAATTTTAATAAAAATAATTTTAAAAAAATAAAAAAAAAATAAAAAAAAAATAAACAACAAAAATTAATAAACGTACATAATAAAAAGTACTTAGAAAAGGTAATAATAAAAGAAAGGATAAAAAATAATAATAAACAAAATTTAAAAAAAACAAAAAATAACAATAAAAATAAAAAATAACAATAAAAATAAAAAATAACAATAAAAATAAAAGATAAACAACAAAAATAAAATAAAATAAATAACAAAAAAATAAAAACAATAAAAAACAACAATAAAACAAAAAAATAAACAATAATGAACAACAAAAATTAATAAACATGAGTAATAAAAAGTAATTAGAAAAAGTAATAATAAAAGAAAGGATAAAAAATGATAATAAACAAAATTTAAAATAAAAAAGTTAATAATAAAAAAAAACAATAAAAATAGTAAAAAACGAAATAAAAATAAAACAAATAGTGGAAAAAAAAATTATTACTTGGAAAAGAGTAAATATGTCACGGGAAGATTATTCACCTCCGCATCCTCTTTGCTTGAATGATTCAATAAATATACAGTCCGCAGATTTGCAGATAAACTGTGGAAATTACTTTTCTTCAGGGTCTCTAAAGCTGTTGTAATTATTATTTATAAGATAATAGTTTTCTGCCTGGCAAAATCATTTTCTTCAATGGAAATAATATAAAACATTCAATGAAAATCATTCCTTTTTTAAATTCAAACACAAAATGAAAAACAATTTTTTTTAATATAAGTGAATAAAAAAAAAAATTCGAAGTCAGAAAAAAGAAATAATAAATTTTTCTTAAATAGGTTTTAAATCAAAATTTATTTCAACTTTAAAAGAAAAAACTGTTAAATTGAAAAATTGTTTAAATAATTGAAATTCTTTACTACTGATAATAATAATTGAACAACAAAAATTGATAAAAATTTTTTTCGGAACCATTTAAAAAAACGAAAAAAAAAATTAGAAAAAAA